TAGGTTATCGCCATGCATGGTACTTGGTTGGAGTATCAGTCTCAGGAAAGACCCCTGTGCTCAGATTTTTTGGTTCTGTTGCTCTCCTTGTGGAGCTCCTGTCCTTTCCAGATCTTACTGTTCCTCACTTTCATAAGATTCCCTGCAATCTCCTCAAAGGTGGGCCATAAGTCTCAGCATCTGCTTTGATAGCCTGCAGGGCAGAGCCTTTCAGAGGCCCTCTGTGGCAGGCTCCTAACTTGTTTCCTGTTTTCGTCTTCTTTTGATGCCCATACTCTTTGCATTTTGGGATGGAAATTGAGCATTTTAGCCAGAGTCCTCCCTCTTGATTAAATCGTTTCTTTAGGTGTACAGATTGTAGTAGGTTTATCCTATATTATATGTCTATATGAGTGAGTATATACCGTGTGTGTCTTTCTTCTTCTGGGATAGCTCACTCAGGATGATCTTTTCCAGTTCCCACCATTTACCTGCAAATTTCATGATTTCCTTGCTTTTTATTGCTGAGTAATATTCCATTGTGTAGATATACCACAATTTCTGTGTCCATTATTCAGTTGAGGGGCATCTGGGTTGTTTCCAGCTTCTGGCTCCTACAAATAAAGCTGCTACAAACATGGTTGAGTAAATGTCCTTGTTGTGTACTTGAGCCTCTTTTGGATATATGCCTAGGAGTGGTATGGCTGGATCTTGAGGAAGCGCTATTCCTAGTTGTTTGAGAAAGCGCCAGATTGATTTCCAGAGTGGCTGTACAAGTTTACATTCCCACCAGCAGTGGAGGAGGGTTCCCCTTTCTCCACAACTCTCCAGCATGTGTTGTCACTTGAGTTTTTCATCTTGGCCATTCTGATGGGTGTCAGGTGAAATCTCAGGGTCATTTTCATTTGCATTTCCCTGATGGCTAATGACATTGAGCATTTCTATAAGTGTTTCTCTGCCATTCGATATTCCTCTACTGAGAATTGTGATGACTTTTGACCCACTAAATCTTTACATGATGCCAAGCATGTAGGCATAGAAAATAGGTATAAAACCAAAGAATGAAATGTTTAATAATAAATCATTAGGAAATTGATTTCAAAACCAATTAGGCATACAGACAATTTTACCATTTATTAAAGATGAAAACTAATTTAAATTGAAGCTGATGAAATGAGTGTGCTTATTTGTCTAACATACAATCTATAGATATGTGATTTGTTATTTACATGCCTGAGAATGATAGTAAGAAGATGCTAAGTTTGGAGCTGGGAAAATAACTCAGTTAGTAAAGCAACTTGAGTTTGATCCCAGAATCCATTTGGAAAAAAAAAAAGTGTGATGGTGTGCCCCATGCTTGTAATGTCAAAGACAGGAGGGTCCTAGGGCTTGGGCTGGCTAGCCAGCCTGGTCTACTTAATGAGTGCAAGGCCAGGGAGAGAGCTTGCCTCCGAAATGAAGGTGGAAGGTAACTGAGGAATGTTTGAGCCTGCTGTATTTGCCATGTTTACATGTGTGTGCACATGTGGCCATGCACACACAGACATACAAACATACTGTATTCTGTAATTAAGCCACTACATTTCTTTTGTTGTTGTTTTGTTTTTATGAAACAGGGTTTCTCTGTGTAGCCATGGCTGTCCTGGATGTGCTTTGTAGACCAAGCTGGCCTTGAACTCACAGAGAGCTACCTGCCTCTGCTTCCCTAAGTGCTGGGATCACAGGCGTGCACCACTGTGCCTAGCTACCATTACATTTCTCTAAGTGAGTAAAGTGTATGTTAAAAATACTTCAGTTCATAGCAATCAGTAGTCTAGAATCTGCTGACTCTTTCAGGAAGCATTTGTTGGCATTGCCTGGCATAATAGAATTCCCAGAGCAAGGTATAGATTACTCTAGGTTAAAGTATGTGCATTGAATGGAGATAACCTAGAACCCCTGCTCAGATGTAGCCCATGGCAGCTCAGTATCCAAGTGGGTACCCTAGTAATAGGAACAGAGACTGTCTCTGACATGAACTCAGTGGCTGGCTCTTTGACCTCCCCATCCCCCATGGGAGGAGCAGCCTTACCAGGTCACAGAGGAAGGCAATGCAGCCAGTCCTGATGAGACCTGATAGGCTAGGTGGAAGGGGAGGAGGACCTCCCCTATCAGTAGACTTAGAGAGGGGGAGGGAGGAGATGAGGGAGGGGAGGTGGGATTGGGAGGGAATGAGGGAGGAGCTACAGCTGGGATACAAAGTAAATAAACTGTAATTAATATATGAAAAATAAAAAATAATAAAAATAAAAAATTTAAAAAAATTTAATAAGTATGTGCATTGAGGAAATGAGGTAACTTAAATCTTTGAGTACATTAAAGCATCAAGAGAATGAATCAATAGCTGACTATATTGGCCAAAAATAAGTGTATGGTTTATTAAGTTCCAAGAAACAAATCTTGAGTGAAATACAAGGGGAAGATGAAGAGAAAATTAAAAAGGCAAAATAATGACCAGCCATTTATTTGACAAGCATAAATTTAATTGTTTTAACAGCATAAAGTATCCTAAGCATTCTAATTCATAGTAGAGGTGATTTTTGATAGTTATAAAGTATAGACATTTACAATCTATTTTTAGAAGTTTTATTTTTGGTGATTTTGTACCTGTATGTAATGAATTTTAGTTATTTTCACTCCCTATGCCCTCACTCATTTCCTCACCCCGCTTCTCCCTCTGAAACCTTTCTCTCCTGAAAGTCCCCTCCTACTTTCAGAGCTCTCTCTCATATGTAACCCACTCATGTGTAGTGTTGCTTCCATGACCGTGGGTGGGAGGCTGTTTACTACAACATGGATGTAGGGAGAGACACAGGGATATAAACATTTTTACCTGCTTATTTCTGTTAGCATCCCTGGGCTGTCTTCAGCTTTATACTGCTGTTCTCTTCTGTCTCCTACCCCCAAAATTAAATGTTTTTATCCCAAAGATTGTTAGAGAGTTTAAAACTGAATTCAAAGAGCCAGCCTTCTGTTTCGTAGCTCACATCAGCTCAGAGAAAAGGGAGCAGTATCTCAGCTCCATCTCCAGACAGGAGTGACACGTCATCATGAAAGGCAGGTTTGAATTGTGATTTCTGGACTATTGTTGACATGCTGATTACACTTGGCTCACTGTGCCAGACTTGGTGCTTTTATCTTACTAGTGGCATCATGCTTGCGGTCCTTTTCAGCTGCACACTGAGCCTGTATGTAACTCATCTGTGTAGTGACCCACATGTTGACACAGAGTAAAGTGCATCTTCCCAAGAGATTTTAAGGGCAAGGTTATTGTAATCTTTCTTGCATTGATTGCTCAGAAAACACCGAAACAGACAAAATAATGGTTTTTTTAGCAGCTGACCCAAGCTTAATATATGATGATTTGCCATTAATTCAATAGCTCTGTATGTGGGATATGCCAGTACACTGACTGTAAAATGCTGACATCTTTTTCTTTTTGTAGAATCAGATCATTCTTACTACAGCCTAATCCTGAAGAAAGCTGGACAGTTTTTAGACGACATACACATCAATCTCCTAAAGTTTGCGTTCTCAATAAGGGCATACTCTCCAACTATTCAGATGTCCCAACAGGTGAAAATACTCAAGCATTACTTAATGAAAATATGCATGATAATATAGATTGAGCTATTTAAAGTGAGCATCATTGATTCAAAGTGTTGCACAAATGTGTCTTTCATTCCATAACCTGTTGATGATTTTATTACCATTGCTGACATTGATTATAATTGCAAAAATGAAATATTGCCTGTTTGGAGTTAGAAAAGCATGGAGACACATTGTCAGTGAAATTACTTAGAATAAAAATTTTTACAGGATTTCAAAAACAATTGGATGTATATATCTCCTAAGACAAAGTTGGCTTTGCTAAATATTTCTTAAATTCTATTCACAGAAAATATTTTACTTTAATTAGAACAGTGACTTTATAGTAAAAATTCAGTTATTTTAATTAAAGTAACAGTTGAGTTTAGATTATGTTCTAGCGATGAGCTCCTGTAACAGAGTCAACTTTGGGATTGTAGATTGCTGCTGCTGAGCCACCACCAGATGGATGTAATGCATTTGTGGTCATACATCAGAAGTACACCTGTAAAATCAATGAAATTAAAAAGCTGCTGAATAAGGCTGCTTCAAGGTAAAGCAGTATATATAACAGAGAAATGCTTTGTGAGGGAGAAGACTTGGAATAGAATTTTAATATTCTAAGACATTGAACAAAGATATTTGATCCTGTTTCTATTGGTGGCTGCAAGAAGCTTTTTATGTCTTTTAGCCCATCTTAAGGATAAGAAAAACCCATGCTGCAAGTAATTTTGAGGAAACTAGATATGCTTTTAATTGGAAATATGAGGAGTCTGCCATCCCCTGCTTCCTTGCTGTGTTATCAGAGCTGTGTATGTGTTTAAATTCCTGTGTAAGGAAACCTCCGCCAGGCCTAGAGGCCCCAAGCAGAAATCACTTTCCCTGGAATATGAGCATTTCTCTCTTTCACCTGGTCTCACTGCGCTTGACTAACCAGTCTGAGCCCCGGAGACTGAAAAGGTGGTATAAGGAGTAGTAACCAGCTTCACACGCAAAAGCAGAGATTGATGGAAGTTGCAGATGATCCAGCATGTGCCCGGGAAAGAAACTGTCACAGCTGATTACAGCAGTGGTGCCGGTCGAGCTCCAGAACCCTCCTGGCTCCCGACCCTGTCCACCTGTTTTCAAGGACTCATTCATAGTCCTTGGTGTTAAACATTGATTTTTGATGGAGGTGTGCCTTTGCATGGTCTTTTACAGATTTGGAAACTATTTTCAGGGAATATTAACTATAGTGAAAATTATTCTAATTAAATATAAATTTTAATTGACCAAAATCATATTAACAAAATGTTATTTTATTTACAATTCACCTAACCAGAAATTAAAGCATTTCTCAAGTCAATTTTGGATAAACCAATTCCTTCTTTTTCTATTTCTATTTCCCTGTTTCTGTGGTTACTTACATTATGAATCCTTTGGTAGCAGAAAGTATAGAAAGTATCCTGGCATATGTCTCATACGCTTTTTGCCCCTCACTTCTTCTGAAGTCTGTGTTTTGTTTTCATTTCAGGCCCAGGCCTTATCTGTTTAGGAGAGATCATAAGTTCCCCACGGGCAGGGAGAACTTACCAGTGGTCATTCTTTATGCAGAAATTGGTACTAGAGCATTTGCTGAGTTTCACAAAGTGTTGTCTAAGAAATCTCAAAATGGTAAAATTCTGTATGTTCTCCGCCACTACATTAAGGTACATGTTTGTGTTTGTGTTGTTTCTTACTTGTTTGTTTGACAGTATTACTAATTTATCATTTTCTTCCTGAGCCAGACTAAAGGTTTATCAATTTTACTAATCTTTTGTATGGAAGCCCCTCTAGCTTCTTGCTTGTTTCGACTTCTGTGATCTTTCTGTTGTAGCATTCTGTCTCAATGTTTGGGGCTTCTTTCCTTTATCTTCTTTAAAGCTTAGTTTTCTTGGGCACATCTAGCTTTTTTAAGTGACACTTAGGTTGCTGTGTTTAGATCTTATTCTTTGTTACTATTTCTAAGAACTGTTTTAGTTGAACTAAAGCATTTGTAGAACATCCTATTCTAGGAGAAATGCAGACAGAACCTAGGTTGCTCCAGCAATTTCCTCCATGTCCCAGGATGCTACATCCTGAGAGATTGCTGAAGTCATTTTAAGAATGTGGTACAGAGGTTATCAGGAGACTTTTCTATTCCGTTAAGCATATATTACTGAAATGTCTTTTCACTCTCCTCACTATTCTAAATTTTTAATTTTTATTGTATGATTTTAGTTAAATCACTACTATTTACTAGAAATGAGAAACCCTTGTTAAATAATCTTAAATTTTTGGTAAACTAGAATATAGATATTTTAATAGTCTACTGAAGATTAAAATATAAAGCAAAAGCATAGGTCCATTGAATGTGCATATGTTTTCTAAGTATTAGCATACGTAAGTAATTAATTCATGTGCCTCTATGCCAAGTATTATTTACAAAGCAGTAAGAGAAATAGTCCCCTTTGAACCATCTTCCACTGCCGGTGGAAATGTAAACTTGTACAACCACTTTGGAAATCAATCTGGCACATTCTCAGAAAATTAGGAATGGTGCTTCCTCAAGATCCAGCTATACAACTCCTAAGCATATATCCAAAATATGCTCAAGTACACAAGGACATTTGCTTGTGCATAACCCATAAGTATATAATGTTCAATGATTAAAAAAAAAGTGTATCAGTAAAAATATGAAGATAAAAGAGGATCAAACATTCTATATAGCTTATTGTTTTTAAACTAGTAATTCTCAATCCTTTTCCTTTTTTGCCATAAAAATAAATATGTGTTTATCAATAGACATTATGGGAGTGATTCTCTCCTAGGTGGAGCAGACCAGAGGTAAGAGACACATGAAGAGAAAATGGATGTAGGAGATAAAAGAGTATATTTACCTCATGTGTGGAGGATATGCCCATCTGTTGAGGCTGTCTTAAATATTCTTTGGAAACTATAGTAAAAAAATACTCCTATGGGATCATATTAACCATGAGGATGCCTTTGTACCAGTAAATAATAACCTTCTACTTAATGCATGACATCTTGAACAATCACAGAAACAATAATGTAAATTTATCAGCTGAGGTTTTAATGAAAATAGACTTCTTTGTGCTTCCTTTGAACAAATGCCTTTTTTGAGGGGGAAGAAGAGATAGAAATATGAAGGCTTGAAAGGATCCTCACCAACCCTATATCTGACCTAGAGGGCTGATATCCAGAATATATAAAGAACTAAAGAAATTAAAAAGCAACAAATCAATCAATCCAATTAAAAAATGGGGTACAGAGCTAAACAGAATTCTCTGTAGAGGAATATAGAATAGAAGACAAACACTTAAAGAAATGCTTAACGTCCTTAGCCATCAAAGAGATGCAAATCAAAACGACCCTGAGATTTCACCTTACACCATCAGAATAGCTAAGATCAAATACTCAAGTGACAACACATGCTGGAGAGGTTGTGGAGAAAGGGGAACCCTCTCCATTGCTGGTGGGAATGTAAACTTATACAACCACTTTGGAAATCAATCTGGCGCTTTCTCAGACAATCAGGAATAGCGCCACCTTAAGATCCAGCTATATAACTCCTAGGCATATACCCAAAATATGCTCAAGTACACAACAAGGACATTTGCTCAGCCATTTTCATAGCAGCTTTATTCATAATAGCCAGAACCTAGAAACAACCCAGATGTCCATCAATGGAGGAATGATACAGAAATTGTGGTACTTTTACACAACGGAATACTACTCAGCAATTAAAAACAAGGAAATTATGAAATTTGCAGGCAAATGGTGGGATCTAGAAAAGATCATTCTGAGTCAGGTATCCCAGAAGCAGAAAGACACATACGGTATATACTTACTTATAAGTAGATTTTAGACCTATAAGATAGGATAAATATACTAAAAACAAGAAAGAGGACCCAGGATAAGATGATCAATCTTCACTTAGAAAGACAAATGGGATGGACATTGGAAGTAGGAGAAAACAAGTAACAGGACAGGAGCCTACCACAGAGGGCCTCTGAAAGACTCTACCTAGCAGTGTATCAAAGCAGATGCTGAGACTCAAAACCAAACTTTGGGCAGAGTGCAGGGAATCATATGAAAGAAGGGGGAGTTAGTATGACCTGGAGAAGACAAGAGCTCCACAAGGACCAAATATATCTGGGCACAGGGGTCTTTTCTGAGACTATTTCTCCAACCAAGGACCATGTATGGAGATAACCTAGAACCCCTGCACACATGTAGCCCATGGCAGCTCAGTATCCAAGTGGGTACCCTCGTAAGGGGAACAGGGACTGTCTCTGACATGAACGCAATGCCTGGCTCTTTGACCTCCCCACACAACCCCTGAGGAAGGAGTAGCCTTGCTAGGCCATAGAGGAGGACATTGCATCCAGTCCTGAAGAGACCTGATAAGCTACGGTCAGATGGAAGGGGAGGAGGACCTCCCCTATCAGTGGACTTAGAGGGGCAGGGAGGAGATGAGGGAGGGAGGGTGGTATCGGGAGGGAATGAAGGAGGGGGCTACAGCTGGGATACAAAGTAAATAAACTGTAACTAATATAAAAAATAAAAAATTTAATTTAAAAAACAAAAGAAATATGAAGGCTTGTCTTAGCCCTTTTGGCTAAGAGCTTCAGGTTACAAATCCAAGCTTATTAAACTACAATTCTGTTTTTATTTTAATACATTTCAAAAATAGAAACTATATACAAATTTAATAAACACTTTCCTTTTATGATCCAGGCACCAATAACTTTAGTATTGATAATAGAAATTGGTTATGTGGATTACATTTCCTTTATCAACTCTGACAAGATATGTGGCCTTTAAACTTCAGTTTTCCAGTCTACCAGCTACAACTTGGTTTTGGAGTAGCCACATGATATTGAAAACTCTTTAGAATACCTCAACTTTTTATATTAGTGTAGTTATCAATAACTTAGTTTCTTCATGCTCTCATTACACTCCGAGCAGCAGTTTTAAGTATGTATCCAAAGGTTATTTATACATGCTCTGATTTGGACCTAAGAGCTCAAGAGAGAGGCATTCTCCTGATACACTTCATTTTAAGGCTTAAGAAAATCATTAGAGGAGTAGAGGGTAATGTGTCATTATGGTTCTCCTTCCCTCCAGTATCTGGCCTTCCACATTCCTCTGTCACATGCAGAATTACCAAACTGTCCCTGTACAAACTTGTGTTAAGAAAAGATATATAGTTGCTACCAAGAATTTGGTGCATTCAAGTAATTACAACTAGCTTCTTAACTCTTAGAATAAAAAAGAAATCATGATGGTTGCAGCACAGCCGATAAGAATTTTAGGTTGGAACATGAAGGGAACTTAGACATCTTTCTAAAAATCATGTGTTTTTATCTGTGTTGCCTCCTGCAAAATGAAACGCGATTTGCCTTGCTCACTGGAGTCATCTCTAGAGATACATTTTAAATTTTATATTTGTCCCTTCCTAGAAGGAGGAAAAGTAGCTACTAAAATCTGATAATATAAATATTTCAGATAGCTCAGATAGACACTCATTAATTTGCAACATTTGGAATATTTTAGTCATTGAGACACCTGAAAAAAGTTCTTACGAGGTTTCCAGGGCACTAAGCATTGAGTGTTTTATTGTCTATCTCTCTCTGTACTTTTCATTATTTACTTTTGCGCTCTCTGATTGTCCTGGATCCAGTTGCCTAACACATAAGAAGCAAGTCTTGTGGAAGTGAATGGAAGAAATGCAATTCTATTTCAACTTTACTGTATTGGACCCTCTGTTAACTCATTGTAGATTTGAAGAGAAAAATCTCTTTTTCCAATTAAAAAATACTGAAGAGTCATATCTAAGTTTCTAGTGAAGGAAGATGTCCTTGAGAAAACTCTGGTTCTTTGATATAGATGTAGAGAGTTTAAGTATTCCCCCAAAATAATAGTTCACATAAGTGTTCCCCAAATAATAATAATAATAATAATAATAATAATAATAATAATAATAATAATAATAATAATTCACGGTGGTTACAAGCTCTTTGTGTTGGGCAGGGGACTCTAGCCTGGTGCTAGAGTACTTTCCTAGCACCTACAAGGCACTGGGCTGAAGACTCAGCACCTGACAACACACAGGCACACACACACGCACATGCATGCAAGCTTCCACTATTGGTAATCTGCTATTATATCCTAATATGTCATGCTACTAAATTTAAAGCAACATGCTTAACTAAATGTTTCCTTTTTTAAAATAAATGTATTTGAACAGAAACCAAGCTCAAGGAAAATGTACTTATCTGGCTATGGTGTGGAGCTAGCAATTAAGGACACAGAATACAAGGCGTTGGATGATATCCAAATTAAAAGTAAGATATTTACTGTTTGAATAAGGCTTTTCTGTCCTTTTACATTGTTATTCATGTTTACAGTGTATTTGGTCACCCCTCCCGCGCCTCCCCGTCCAGTTCTGCCTACCCTTCTCCTAGCACATCTTCCTCTTTTTTTGTTTTTATAACCCGTTTAGTCTGTCTATTAGTGCCTACCATATGCACGTGGGTGTGATGTCATCCACTGGGGTATGACAGCCAAATTGCCAATGGCCCTTCCAAAAGAAAAGTGACCTCCCTCAGCAAGCCACCCACCACCAATAGCTCTCAGCTAGGGTGAGACACGCTGGAATACTTGAGCAGCTTCGTCTGTGCAGGCGACTACAGGCTTCAGGGGCTCAATGTGTGGCCCTCTGCAGGAATATCATCCACTTACAGTGCCATACTCTTAAAGAAACCAACCCCCTTTCCCAGCAGCTGTCATTCGCCAATATCTCCTCAGCCAGGCGATATACAGTTCCTATCTCTCAAAGTTCTATTTGTTTGCTTTTTTTTCTTTTCTAGCCCATGTATTTCTGTGCCTCCACTTAGAAAAGTTTTGTTCACTGTATTAAAGTTGTCCATTTGTCTTTCTCTTTTCTCACCAACTATGGTTTTTATAACTAGTGTCTTTATCCTGATATCTATCCCATCAGAAATCATAGCATATAGCAAATATTATGCAGTGATTGAATTCAGCAAATACACAGCTAGCACATGACTGCATTTCTGCTTATAGTCTGAGACCCAGAGCTTCAGCAGAGTGAGAAGACGGAGCAGACCGGCTGAGTCGCAACACACTGATAAAGAACATCACAGCCTTCCCCTCCTCGACTTCCACATCCCTTGATAGGAGAAGGGGATGAGTGTTACATATTATACCAGCATTTTTTGTGTTATCTTTCTAAAGATGCATGACCATCTTTCAAGATTGCTTGAATTGTTCAAAAACTCACATTTACTAGGCTATGGATCTACCACCAGACCTGAAAACATAAACTAGGATTTGCTGTGGGTCCCATTTATTCTCATTTTGGTTTATAAAATAGAGTTGCTATGTCATTTATAGGACATTCATTGTGATTATGCAGTGTTTAACAATCTAAACCCATTTTTAAATGAGGATTATAGTACATACATGCACATATGTCAACCTTCAGGAAAGAAATGTAAAAATTGAATTTTTAATTGACATTTCTGTTTTTCACCAGCTGACAGATACTTATTTTTTTAATGTAGCTACTACTGATACTTCTTTAGAAAATGAGACTGAAGCAGATGAAGTTCAAGGATTTCTTTTCGGGAAACTGAAGTGAGTCTGAATAGAAATGAAATTGGTTTTATTATGCACTTTTTTGAAAGTATTTAATTTGATATGCTATGTTGGCACAGGCTCTTTTTATATATACAAACCGTCTTCTATAGAGTTTCTATTATTTGAATGAAATACCACGGCAGAAAGTAACTTGGGGAGGAAATGGTTTATTTGGCTTATGCTTCCATATCACTGTTCATCGCTGAAGGAAGGCAGGACAGGAACTGAAGCAGTGAAGAAACCTGGAGGCAGGAGCTGATGCAGAGGCCATCAGCCATCACGGAGGGCGCTGTTTACTGGCTTGCTTCTCCTGGCTTGCTCAGCCTGACTGTAGAGAGCTCAGGCCCGCCCGCCCAGGGATGGCTCCACCCACAGCGTGCTGAGCCCTCCCACATGAGCCACTGAGTGAGAAAATGCCCTATATCTGGATTTTATGGAGATATTGTCTTAATTTGATGCTCCCTCACTTCAGATGACTCTAGCTTGTTTCAAGTTGACATAAAACCAGCACGGCTATATACACACCGTTATCTTTATTAAAGAACTCACAGACAGCTAGTGTCAAAAAGCTAGAGAAAGCAAAGATGAAAAACACAGACATTTGAAATAATCAAGAATTCCACAACTGGGGGATGCCTGTCACTGCTTTGACATGTGTTTCCACCCTCCCTGCACAGGTGGCTGGAGTGAGATAACTGCCTGAGGAGGGCAGCGTTTGCACAGTGTTTGCACCTTTTCCAGTGTGCTGCGGGAGAACTGTCACTGCATGGGACACTCTCCCTCAGAGTGCCCGAGAGGGTTTCTGTGGACCCGTCATGTGCAGCTTCGCTTTTTCTTGGCACAACTTTCAAGGGAAAATGTCAAGTCAAAACATTTATGCTTCCTGATTTTGATCCATATTTGTAAATTTTCCTCCTAAAATTTAGTAGCACAACCACACTTGCATGTGAGTGTATATGTTTCCTAAAACTGTGCTAACAACATAATGTTTTTTAAGTTTTTAATGAGTGAAATGATTTTTTTCTTTACGGTTATTTCACTGACTGAAGCACTTTGTAGTTTGAATTCAAGAACAGTAAGCTATTGGCAGTTTGTTGCAAGCTTTAGCTTCCTTTTCTATATTTATTGGATTTTGAGTTTCTACTCCAGCTAACTGCTTATTCCTGACCTTTGCTTTTTGTGTTACTATATTTTTTGCCAGTTGTTGAAACATTTTCCATATATTGAATTCCATATATTGAAATATAAAATAAAGTTTATTTTCTTATTAATCTTTAAAATTAAATTATATTAATTTACGGTTGTGTCTATCTAAATTGGCAGTTTGAATTTCTGTGTTTCTGTGAACCAAATATTCTATTCATCTCTTCTCTGGTCCACGTGAACAAAAGCAGTGAAGGAGGGACATGTCTTATGCTAACAGCCGTGTTGTATGTTTTGGGTATTCATGATTTTAGAATCAGAAATAGAATAATTGGGTGGTTTTGTCTTTCTTTAAAATAAATATCTGAAATAGAAGTTTATTCTATATCAGACAAAACCTTCCTTTTCCCTTTGTTTCATATGTTCAGTGATTCTTGGTGTTTCACTGTTATACACTGGTTTGTATAATATATATATATATATATATATATATATATATATATATATATATATATATAAATGTTAGCCTAAAACAAAGACTTCTGTTAAACAAGAAGGGGTACTATGGCATGATTTTCTGAGCAGTACAGGAAAGATAACGCTTATACAGTATGCGTAGGAAAATGCCATTTGACTGCGTTAATGTTTGACCCTCTAAAAGATATCCTCATGTATTTAACATTGGACAAAGTTACCTTTTGAGCTTTTTATGTAAGTAGGAGGTGAAACTACAAAGAAACAACACACTCTAAGCTACGAAACAAGAGTCTGTTTGGCCTTTGGCTAGGACCAAGTGAGGGTTGCTATGGGAAGCATTGTCTTTAGTTGTGAAATTGTTTCTGTTTTAAAATATAGGCGCAATACTTAAAATTTTTGAGGCATTGAATTTAAAAATGTAAAAATTAGTGATTCTTCCTGCTCTTTGCATCTTTTACAGGTCATGTATAAATTAAGGATCTATTCCTCCACATTTTTTGTTTTATGTATTTAAAGGAGCCATATATATCGTCCTTATTCAGTTCAATAGCTATAGCTGTATCACAATTTATTACTTAATTCTGAATGATTAGCTTTTGTCTAATTAGAGGAAAAATTTCAAAAGTATATTAATTGTATCATAATTTGTGGCAAATGGTGACCATTAACGTAACTTAATATTCTGATGCAGAGAAATATATTCAGATCTTAAAGATAATCTGACACTATTCCAAACGTACCTGATTGAAAGCAGCAAGGAAATGATGCCTTTGAAAGTCTGGGAATTACAAGGTACAGTACTTTGAATGCTTTTTTGTTTGTTTTGTTTTTAGCTGTGGTTTGGTTTGGTTTGGTTTGGTTTGGTTTGGTTTTTTAAGACAGGGTTTCTCTGTCTAGACCAAGCTGGCCTCATACTCAAAGAGATCCTCTTGGTTCTACCTCCCTGAGTGCTGGGATTACAGATGTGTACCACCGCACCCAAATATTAAATAAAATTTAATGGAAAATTTTAAGTGAGAGAACAGGTAGCTATAAACCTACCGGTTTCTCTGCTAATGACTCTTGCTAAATCATGTTTGTTCTTTAAACAGTTCATACGTGTATAAATCGAGTTTGAGTTATTTTCACTCCCCACCCCTTTTGCTGAAGCTCTTTTTTTCCCCAAGTACTCTCCTTCCCTGTGGGGGCGGGGAAAGGGAGGGGAGGCTAGGGTTGTTTCCCTGCATGCATGGGTGAGAATATTTACTGGGACACTGGCACCACTGAAGAAGACAGCACTTCTCCACAGTCATATTAACTGCCTTGCCACTCTTTCCGTCAAAGCTTTTGTCACGTATTTCACTCAGCCTGATTATAGGAGAAAATAGCCTCAAGTTTTTCTGATAGAAGCCATATTATCTGTGTTTGCAGTGGTCTTTCTGATACTCTATTTTAATTCACTCATTCATAAAAGTCTAAGTCATACCTTAATTTAACTTAAGGAAGAAGTTTTTGATGTAAAGCTTTTAAAATGCTAAATAGAATAAAGTTAACATGTGAGGTGGGGGGAAGAAGTGATGAGTAAAATGTACTAAATGGGGGTGTCTAAAGCTGTAACATTATACTAGACACCTCGCGATTCTTTTCTTCCAGATATGAGTTTTCAAGCAGCCTCTCAAATAGTGTCCACCCCTGTCTATGATGCCATAAAGCTAATGAAGGATATTGCACAGAACTTCCCCATAAAAGCCAGGTATGTTAAAGTTTATTGGTGTGATTATAGGCAGATCTCTTTCCATTTGGTGAAATTTATGAGAATAACTGGTTTCATAAAATGGAAATGTCAGTTCCAGTATATATAGCTTTTCACAATTTAGGACTCTGCGTTATGTTTAGTTTTTATTAGAGTAAACTATTGGATATATACACATGTTTATTATGTTACAAAGAAAACTATTTAACTAGAGCCTAATATTTAGAAAAGAAAAATATATTTTTTTAATTTTGATAGGAATCATGACTAAGAAAATACTTTTGATCAAATAATAAAATATTTCTCATTCTTTCATGGAGGATAATAAAAAGTGTTATTCTGAATAAGTGATCTGTACCCTCAATACTGCCAAATCATTTTCTTTTGTTTGGATTTCAAAATTGTTAATCTTTTAAATGCATAGAGTATTTTATGTAATACTTTTTGCCAGTAAGATATGTCATTGAACTGTTTCCAGGAAATACTAACTGTTCCATTAAATAAACTTTTTAATTCAATAGATAATTCATTTGCTTATGCAGAGTGACCAGAATACAATTTCAGATTTTATGAGAAATTATAAAATAATACAGCTTTGATGCATCTGTATTTTGTTTAGAAATGACCAAGTATAATACTGTAAGTAATGTGAAATTGTGTATACAGTAAATAAATTAAATTATGTACATAGTAAATAAATATAAATCTGTGTTTAGAAGAAACACCAAGCAAGTCACAGTATGTGTGTGAAACAGTACTTTCTTGAGAATGTGAGCAAGCAGCCTATTCATCTAGCTTGTCTTTTTAAGGATTGAATGCTAAATCTTTTTTCTCAAATTCTATATTGTCCATGTATTCACAGTTCAGATTAAAGTTTCTTAAATGACGGTAGCTTTACATTTGAAAGATAGACAAATAGTATCTGCTCAACACAAGAGATTCTAAATATGTTTTATGGTCCCCTGAAAACAGAAAAGTTTGTAGTTTTCTTTCTTTTTTTTTTTTTTTTTAATTCTTTTGAGGTAGGTTCTTGCTGTGTGGCCCAACCTGATCTCAGCTTCTCCATCTTTCTGTCTCATCCTCTGAAGTGGGTGGCACTACAGGACTCCACCCCTGCGCCTGCCCTCGTGACCAACATTAGAATACTAATTAGAAAATGAGGAGTTTTATTGTGACACTTTAGTATACATATTTACAAAATGTCCTTATGAGATTCACACCTGACTTAGTCAATTTTAAGGTGGAGAATTGAGAAGTTAACACTGTTCATAACTAACACATGAAATATGTATATGTGAAAATATAGATTTAGCCATAGTAATGTTATTAGCCATGCTATTTCATTAATAGTAGCTTTTGAAATTGGCGCAAATCTAAAGTAAAATAATTTCAGTTGTAGTAAGTCTGTTAATTAACTATTGAATGCTAGATTGCAGGTAGGGCCTCCCATCCCCTGTAACAATCTGCATTTTCAGATCATTTCTTTTATGCCTACATTGACAGACATAATAATAACATTTTAGGGGGGTTGCAGATTATATTTATATATAACTATATTTATAAATAACTATATTTATAGAAAAAATTTTTTAATTCTATCTTTAACTTCTAAGAGAATGATAAAGTCTTCTAAAGTGGCAAATATGAAATGAAGTATATTCATTCCTCTTTATCTCTGAGTACTATATCTGAAAATTTGATGAACTACATTTGGAAAATACTCAAAGAATAATAATCTCTTCGCTGAACTTGAAGAGATGACATCCTTATAATTATTCTAAATGATGCAGTGTACTGACCATTCACATAAGAGAACACTGAGTATTCTAAATAGTCTGTATATGCTGCTGTCACTGTACGGCGACATGTGTAGGTCATGCACTACCAAACCATTTTTAATAAGGGCTGTGCCCACCCTGCAGTTGATGTCTGTTTTTATGGGGAATCCAGAAGTCAGTTTCTTACTTATACCAATGGATGACTGTGTTGCCTGTGTTGGTTAACCCCGGAGTAATCCGAATTCCTATATAACTGAGTGTTTTGAAATAAAAGTAGTGGTAAATAAGATATGATAATACTTGATACGTATATTGGAAGTATATGAAATTTTAGTCTTTATTTCATGTGAATGGAATACAATGTCAGATAAAATATGGAACCATTGTCAAATTAGACTACAGAAATATCCTCCTGAAGATTTAGAAAATAGATATTTTCTAAACTATTCTGTTACATTGAATTATTGAGTATCCCTAAACACTTTGGGAAGAATGAATGCTATTTATTAAGTAACCTATGTATTTTCTCAGATCTCTCACCAGGATTGCTGTCAATGAACTAATGAGAAAAGAAATACAGGAAAATCAAAAGGTTTGCTTGAAATTATGTAAAATTTTTTATTTACCATATTACGTTACTTTTTTATAAGTTAGATCTTTTATTTTAATTTTTAAAAAACAAGTTTTAGTGCTGTTGTTAAAATAGTTCAAAGAGAGGCGATCAGGTTTCTTCACTGGAGAGACACTGGGCATATCAGCCACACAAAAGCAAGCCTATGTTCAGGACTCCAAACACACTGCACATTTTTATGTCTTTGTTTGTTTTAATTTTTTTTTTGTCTTTGAGGTTTTGTTTTCATGATTGTTCGTTTGTTTTGATTTGGGATATTCTGAGGGTTTTGTGTTTGGAGGGAAAGAATATCAAGTTTGTGGGTGAGAAGTTGGAAAGAATCTTGAAGGAGTTGCAGAAGAGGAAGAATATGATCAAAATACATTATTTGAAAAATTTTAACAGCCAATAAATACAAAAAATTAAGACTTACATTATCTTCTTTCTACTGTATGTAATATATCTCACAATCTAGCTGGTGTTTACATAGCTCCTACTTTCACTCTGACTCCAGAATTTCGTCCTTTGTAGTACCTTCCCGGCCTTCACGTAGTACAGAGTACTTGTTTTTATTACTAGTCTGACACTTGGAAAGAATCAACCAGTGTCAGACTACAGTGACATGCCTAGCATCCCATAGCAAGTAAGACGTAGCGGATCGTTTGGTAAGATTGTTCCCAAGTTTACTAACATTTAAACACCCAATTATACTAATTATGTTAGCACTTACGGCTGTATGCTAGTAGTTAACATACTGGTCATAGCCTAGCTCCATGCCATGTAATCATTTCTCTCTTAATTAACCTAATAGCAGACACTGAAGGCCCTAAACAGTGTTAATTTATTTTTCTCACATGAAAAGATGTCTTAAAGTCTCTATAACTGATGCTGCAGCTCAGGAGCTCCCTAGTGTCAGAAACTGTTTGTAAAACACCCACGGGCTTTGCAGATAGTAAGAGAGCAGAAGCAGCTCAACATCTCTTCTGTATGCAGAGAGAAGGAGGCCAGAAGAATGTTAGTAACCACACTAATCATCTTTAAAGCTGTCCCACCACAGACTTTGGCATGTGTCTCATGGACCAAGACTGTCATGTGAACATCTCTAGCTGCAAGGGAAGCTAGAGCAGTTAGTATTTACTCCTTTAGTAATGGGGCTAGGTAGGATGGTAGGCTAGTCAGCCACACTGATAATCTTGCCAACAGTTTAATGATGGCAGCTAGCTAAATCGTGTCAGTGGCTTTATACATTAGATATTCAGTTTTTTCTGTTTACTTACCCTCAGAACATTCTTCCTTATGATCATTTGAATCGGCGCGCTGGAAGATTTCATAAAATTAAAGAGGTGTTGTGGGAAGAAGTGAACATATGATCAGTCTAGACAATGACCCATGATAGCCATCCCTCAGGTTTTAAATGAATTGTACTTTTTAAGAATATAGTAAGTTAAAGTGGAAGAAAACAATAGCAAGCAGCAGGAGTTGGAGAGGGGGAGCAATGTTAAAGAACATGCCATCCTTGCAGACGACCTGTGCTGTGTTCTCAGCACCATGTCAGGCTCCTCACAACCACCTATCACTCCAGCTAGGGGGTCCAACCCATCTTCTGGCTTATGTAGTCAGCCATCCCCATGTACATAGACAGATACAGAGACAAACGTACTTACACATAATTTAAGAAATAAGTCCTAAAAACTAAAGAGCAGAACATCATCAAATTGGGTGCTTCCAGTGCCCAGCAGGTAGATAGCGACTCATCATCAAATCATTTGCAAATTCAGGAGAAATAACTGGAGAAGTCCTGCTGAAATAGCCAGACTGAGGGTCACGACGGAGAGTGGCTAGCAGAACAGCTTTGCAGACGAGCTTCTGCCTTCTTGTTCCTACCACACACATTTTGTACATTCACCTTCTAGATGTTCTCCAAGGCATGATGCTGCTACATTGTTAGCTGTGTGCTGTTCTCCTCCTCCTTGTTAAAGGCCAACATGCCCCTCAACAGAAGACACCTGAGATAAACGTGTGATGTGAGACACGGGGAGCCTTCCATACTCCCAAAGTCTGCCTTTGAAAGTGCAAAGAGCACATGACAGTGTGCCAGTTTACAATATTCCAAATCACCAAAGATGGTGACTTCAAAAATAGCATTTGAAAGACAAGGTAGCATCCCTCAGAGACAAAGAAAAGATGACTGGGGCTGAGAGCCTTGAAGGAGACTGAGGTTTGAAATGAGACGACTTGATCTGATTGAGTGACCTGTAAGCAGTCTTCATGCTGAGAAATATAAAAAAGTTACTCTTGCCTGTTACACTCTAAAAGAACCCACACACAGCAATATCTGTTCAGGGTAAGTCTAGCTCATTCCTATTTTAAAATTGAGAAGGTAAGGTACATCAATGTAAAGATTGAGATGGAAGGGGAACAGGATCATTTTGTAGTTAATGAAGCCCTACTCAGCAGAGGTAAACTGACATACAGGATTCATGTGTTCATTTAAAGAAAAAACAACTTTAAAAATTATTGAAGCTGAGAAGTGCCAGGTTTAGAAAGCAATGGCTAAGACTAAAGGTGGACATGAATTGATAGCCATGCCCAAGAGGATGAGGTGAAGTCATAGCTGGAAGGATTCTGGAAGGTGTAGGAAGTAAGGAGAAAACATTTGACAAGTAAAAAGTCCAATTGCAGGTAACACTGAGGAGAATTGACCATATAGAAAATACAAATTAAAAACAAGGAAATCACAAAATTTGCAGGCAAATGGTGGGAACTAGAAAAGATTATCCTGAGAGAGGTATCTCAGAAGGAGAAAGACACACATGGTATATACTCACTTATAAGTGGATATTAGACATATAATATAGGATAAACATACTAAAATCTGTTCACCTAAAAAAGGTAAGAAGGAGGACCCTGGGTAAGATGATCAATCCTCAAAGACAAACGGGATGGACATTGGAAGAAGGAGAAAACAGGAAACATGACAGGAGCCTACTACAGAGGGCCTCTGAAAGACTCTACCCTGCAGGGTATCAAAGTAGATGCTGAGACTCATAACCAAACTCTGGGCAGAGTGCAGGGAATCTTATGAAAGAAGGGGAAGATAATAAGACCTGGAGAGGACAGGAGCTCCACAAAGAGAGCAACAGAACCAAGAAATCTGGGCCCAGGGGTCTTTTCTGAGACTGATACCCCAACCAAGGACCATGTATGGAGATAACCTAGAACCCCTGCACAGATGTAGACTATGGCAGCTCATTGTCCAAGTGGGTTCTCTAGTAATGGGAGCAGGGACTGTCTCTGACTTGAACTCAGTGGCTGGCTCTTTGATGACTTCCCCCTGACGGGGGAGCAGCCTTACCAGGCCACAGAGAAAACAATGCAGCCAGTCCTGATAAAACCTGATAGACTAGGGTCAGAGGGAAGGGGAGGAGACCTCCCCTATTCCTGGACATGGAGAGGGGCATGGGAGGAGATGAGGGAGAGAGGGTGGGATTGGGAGAGGATGAGGGAGGGGGATATAGGGGATACAAAGTGAATAAGTTATAATAAATAAAAATAAATTATAAAAGAAAAAAACAATGGAAAGAAAATAAATTAGAAATGTACAGATTCAAGGAGGAAAGCATGAAGAAATGGCAAATGAAGAAAGCCTGATAGGGGAAATCTTAAAAAAAAAAAAAAGAAGAAGAAAAGATAAGGAACTCTGATAAACTTTACATAAGAGTTTCTGAGATAAAAGAAAAAATGGGCAAAAGAAACACTTAAAACTGTGATTAGAATTGTTTTCTAAAGTAAAAAGATCCAAATCTATGAAAATGTGCCTGTGCAGCTGGAGAACTGACCTAGGATGAGCAGACAAGGCACCTTACAGGCAATGAGTGCGGTTGTTGGTGTGATGGAAAGAAAGAAGTTTAAATGGCAGCAGCACTTCTCAAAAAAACATTCAACATGAAAAAAACAGTTGTGCATGTAGAGTGTTCAAAGTGAAAAGGCTGCCTCTCAGGCATGTCCATGTAGGCGTCGAAGAACACTGGACATGAAGAATGCAGGGAGTTGCTAAAGACACTTCCCCAACATGTCTGTGCAAGGCCCTGCCTTTTATCCCCGCTGCACGCCACAGACACCCATGCACATGTGAGCATGTGCACACGCGCACAGACACACACACACACGCACAGAGAGTTCACTCCCAGAAGCATTTTGTGAGGTGTTCCTAAGGAATTTCTGAAAGCCAGTACCTACCTGCAGACCATTCAGCCAATGACTGGTGTGTAGAACTCGGTGGTTGTTGTGCAGAAGGAACAGCGCTGCACACACTCGGGACACTGGTAGACCCCGAACCTTTGACACTGTTGCGGGTTAACTGTTGTGTTGCTTTGTTTCAAGGACCTACGACATAGATTTGAAATTAAGCCAGGCGATGCTCGTCTGTTCATAAATGGCCTGCGTGTTGACTTGGATGTTTATGATCCTTTCAGGTAAGTGTTAAATTATTAACAAACTCTGAATTATGGAAAGATAAACAACATTTTCCTGAATTTATTGTCAAAATGCAAAACAAAAGGTTGTAAAGATTAGGCAAATGTTTTGACATAGTTATACACATTTATGGCTACAATATGGTATTTTGATACATGTGTATGATGTATAATCAGATCAGGGTGATTAGCATTTCTGTCACCTCAAACACAATTTCTTCATAGGCAGAACACTGCAATCATCTCTCCTCTGTCTTTTGAAGGTGTAGTAATTGTTACGCCCTGTAGTGGCTAACCCTGCTCTCAGTCTTTCATCCTCCCTGTGTCTTAGTACCTGTTACCCATCCTCTGTCCCGGTACTCTTCTATTCAGTGCTTCCTATTGTGCAGTTCTTCCAAAATGCACCAGTGCAGTGTCTTCAGATTTCGGAACTGGGAGAGATGGGGGTGATCTGGGGGATGGTAGAACCTTAGCTATTTCATTGTTCTAGACTGCCTTTTCTTTAAAATTAGCTTAATGTTTAACAGGAAATACTTCGGGACTGGACTGAGAGCTCTGGGATCTCTGCTCTCCAGAAAAGAACTGCAAACATAAGATGTGTCTCTGCGTCTATCAGTTAGAATGTTGTGTGCCATCAGGTGTCTTAGGACAAACAGAATTCTTCAAAAGTACACTGAGGTAGAATTAGACAGGCCTCTGGTACAGTGGCCACTTATCTGTAAGTTTTTGTTTTGTTTTTGTATTGTTTTTAATTTATTTTTATTTATTTTACATCCTGGTTGTAGCCACATCCCTTCTCCCCTCCCAGTCCCACCCTCCCTCCTTCTCTCCACCCCTCTTCCTCAGAAAAGCAGACTCCCTATCCCCCCCATCCCTAGATCATCAAGTTGCTTCTGGACTGAGTATGTTCTCTTCCCCTATGGCTTGGCAAGGCACTCCTGCCTGGGGGAAGTGATCAAAAAGCTGGCAAGTGAGTCTGTTCCCACTACAGTCACCCTTTTCCCTTCCTAGAGGACCCACATGAAGCCTAAGCTTCCCATCTGCTACATCTTTGTAGGGGTCCTAGGTCCTTGGTTGATGCTTCAGTCTCAGAAAGCCTTTCTGGGCACTGGTTAGTTGTTTTGTATTGGTTTGTTTTGTTTTTGAGACAGGGTTTCTTTGTGTAGCCATGGCTGTCCTAGACTCACTTTGTAGACCAGACTGGCCTCGAACTCACCTGCCTCTGCCTCCTGAGTGCTAGGATTAAAGGTGTGTGCCACCATACCCAGCTCAACTGTAAGTTAAAGTCATGAGTCAGACAGAAGAGAAATAGAGTGTCCAATCTACTTTGGATAATCAACAATGGAAACAGATTAATTGACCTTCTCTCAACTATAATTAGTTTCCTGTACTCTGTCTATGGATGGTACCCTGCAAAATTTTACCTCTTCCACCATTTATATTCCCATTGTTCTGGTCTTACTTATACAGACATTTCCGGGAGAGGGTTTTATAGCAGACTTCCTGATATTTTGGCTCTTAAAGTTTTTCTTCCAAACATCTTCCAAGATGTTCATGAGCTATAGATACAGGAGCTGTGATGTTTGGGGGCTAGGCTCTTCATGATATGTTGATCTATGTACTGTGTCCAGTTGTGGTTTTCTGTGATGCTCTCCATCTGTTATAAAGAGGATTCTTTGATGAGTGGATCAGAGGTGTTAGAGCTGGGTAGGACATTCCAGCCATTCTAAGGGGGTTTCTCATGCCTGATACTGGAGTTGTTAGTCTATGAGTTTTGCATATCGTAATGGTTATCTGATTTAATTCTGTTGAGCTCTACAAATACTAAGTATATATAAGCATTACACCTCTGGAATCACAAATCCTCAAAGCACTACATGCTATGGCTTTAAATTTTAAATGTAAAATTACCATGCGATAATTAGTTTCTTAGCATTGGTTACTCACTAGACTTCAAAGTCTACATGGGCAACTTATTTTAGCTTGTTTGTCAACCACTATGATAGCTTTACAACATGGAACTCAAATATTTGTTGAACCAAATTTTGATTGATATTAAATTTAAAATCTTAAAATGACTGAAATTAGCTTTAACTATTAATGTTGACTTGTCTTCCACAGTCATGCATACTCATGTGCGTCTACATACATGAACATGTAGATACACAATTGAAAAAAATATTGTCAAACTCTAGATTTTCCAAGTTTTGACAAAATTAAAATTATTTCTTCTTTGATCATAAAGTATTTTAGATATGCTGAAATCAGAAGGAAAACTGATGAATGGCCTTAAAAATCTTGGGCTCAGTGAAGAAGATATGAACAAAATTTTAACATTAAATTTGCCTGTGTGGGACTATGACTATGTGTTAGATATTCGGCATTCTGCAATAGTGGTAAGTGCTCAGATTATTCCTTATCCTAAACATTTGAGTTTTTTAGGGCTTACCATAAAACTATGTATTTGCAGTCTTTAGAATACCTCTAAGCATTGAGTGACTGAGTATTCAGAAGAGGGAACAAAAACACAAACCCATTCTCTGTCCACTTAGTAGCTTCACCCAAGGATTAGGACTCTCATGAAGCAGCTCTTCCAGCTTCAAAGATAAAACAAGCAGAAGACAGTCCTAGGAATAGGAGCAGTAACAAAGCACCAGCGGGGATCTGGGAGGTGAGAATAGACCTAAACATGAGGAGAATCAAGCCTGGGCAGTGTGCCTTGGGCTATGACTTTAGTCTGTACTGCATCCTGCTGTTTATCAAATAGCTCCTACCTTCTTTGTTGAAGTAACAAGGTGATTCTTAAAAAAAATATATATATATCTGTATTCCAGTGCTGACTGTAGCTGCCATTCCATTCTCAGAAGAACTTCCTGAGACCACTGGGTCTCATCTCCTCCTTTTCCTATTCCTCAGTTAGCTCCTACTTTCTTTGCGAAATTCAGCTGAAAATCCATAGCCAAGAAAGCTTCCTGAGCAGTCTACAGTTCACGGGGTTTTGGTGGTGGCGGTAGCTTTGGTTTACTGTAGGTTGTTTGTTTGGTCGGTCTCTTGGTCGATTGGTTGGTTGGTTAGTATGGTTTGGGTTTGGGTTTTAGTTTTTCAAGACACAGTTTCTCTGTGTAGCCCTGGCTGTTCTGGAATTTGCTCTATGGACCAGGCTGGCCTTGAATTCACAGAGAACCACCTGTCTCTGCATGGGGTTAAAGTGTACATCACCACACTCAGCTTTTGTTCATGTTTCTAAAATAAACCATCCTCATCTTAAGTGATTTTAGTAGGATTCAAAAGAGCCAGAAGTTGGGCCAATCAGTCTTACACCACCTAGTATGTGTACTGTTGATTCTTACACATGCCCTCTATCAGGATAAGGAAGCTCCTCTGTGTTCCTAGTTGGTTGGATGTTTTCATAATGAAAAATTAAGCTTTTTCCTTTGTCTATTAAAATGTTAATTCTCCTATAATGATATGATATGTTAAATAGATTCCCATATGTTGAAATAATTTTTCATCTGTAGGAAAGTGCCTGCTTGAGCACAATTTACTTTTTGGACTGCTGAAGCTGCATTTATTTTGTGTATATTGTAGCATATATAGTGTCTATGTTCTTAAGGGTTATTGATTAGTTACATGGCTTCTATTTTCTGGTATCTACTGATTTGATTTAATTACAGGTTTGGCATCTGAGTCTTTGTTGGTGGTGTCTTGTCAACCCCACTAAACTTTTATCAAGTTTGTTGTTCACCAACTTTTAGTTTCTTCTGTATGGCTCTGCTGTTTTGTTATTTTATTTACCTTTGTACAAGTCTTTACTGGTATTGACCCCTTCTTGCTTTTACATTTATTATGCCACTTTACTTTTCTTAGGTTCTTAGGGTGAAAATTAGATAATTGACTTGAGATCATTACTTCATAATGTAGGTACTTATCGCTATAGTGTTTTGCTGCTCCCAAAGTTTCCTATGTCCTGTTTCAAAGAGTGTTTTAAATGTCCTTGTGATTTGTTTTTTACTCATTGGTTATTTAAGATTATACTATTTAGTTTCTGCATATTTGTGATGTTTCTGAATTTTTCTTGCTAACTTTAAATTTTAGTTTATTGTATGATTGCATAGTTTATACCATTTCAGTTTTATAAATTTATTGATACTCCTTTTTTGCATGTAATAACATATACCTATCCTGTAGAATGCCTAATGTGTAGTTGAAAAGAATGTATATTCTGGTAGTGTTGGATAGAAGATGCTTTTATTTTATGTATAGTTTATTTATTTATTTATTTATTATTCAAGCCTTATTTCTTTGCTATTCTCTCTCATTGTTGTAACTACTGTTAAAAGTGAGATGATTTATGCCTGTATCTATAGTGTCTGTTATGTGAACTTAGAACTCTGCTAAAGAGCTAAGAAATAATAAATTTCTAGAAGTAGAAAGTCTGTCTCAGTCTTTGTAGAGACTATGTACATGTGGCAAATTAGAGGACACTCTGCCAGAAGTTTTTTTTTTATTAAATTTTATTTTTCATATTAATTATAGTTTATTCACTTTGTACCCCAGCCCCCTCCCTCAGCCCCTCCCAGCCCCACGTCAGATGCTTTCCAATGGCTCATCGCTCGAGTCCCGGCAGGATGTGGCTCGGCAGGATCTGCGCCACATGCATGCACATACCCCCACCGTCAGCACACCAAGCAATACAGATGGCTACAAACAAAGCAGTTTGCAATGAGCCAAAGTTTTCATTTGTTTTTGGAAGCATACAGTTGTCATGTGTCATATTTCCTATTCAGTTGGCTTTTTATGTCAGAAATACAGCAAAATCTGTGTGTGTTTCCACCTGTGGTTTAGTAGAGTAAAAAAAAAAAAAATCTAAATTTGAAAGTAATGTAACTGTTATCTATCTCAAGGTAGCTTTAAAAGATTCCTGAATTCTTTTCTAGTGGATTAATGACTTAGAAAATGATGGTATGTATGTTAGTTGGCCTACGAGTTGCTGGGAACTTCTGAAACCAGTATTACATGAAACAGTTCCTTCCATAAGGCGTAATTTTCATAATTTGGTGAGTTTTGTTATTTTAATTCTTATATTATTTTTATATGATAATATTCTTTTTTGATTGCCTTGCTGTTGGGTAGCAGTCATGTCAAGTCCAAGGAGTACTTGCCTGGCATGCCAGGATTGGAGTGGCTATTTTAAGGAGCATGAAAGCCAGTAATTTACTTAATTTGATTATTACTCAGCTCTCATAAATGATATCTGTACATCCGTTTCCATCCACTACTTGGTGGAGCCTCTCAGAGGACTGCTCTGCTAGGTTCCTGCCTGCAAGCCTTGTATCAATATAGGGTCATTATACACGTTATTGTACCATTATAGTGTCAGGGATTGGCTCTCTCCCATGGGGTGGGGGTCAGGTTGGGCCAGTCAGTGGCTGGACATTCCTTCAATCTCTGCTCCATCTTTATCCCTGCACATCTTGTAGGCAGGGTAAGTTTTGAGTTAAAGGTTTTGTGGGTGGGTTTTCTAGTGGGTCCCTCCACTAGAAGTCCTGCCTGGCAACTTCAGTCTCCATGTCCCCTGTGCTAAGAGTCTCAGCTAGAGTTACTCCCATATCCTCAGGAGCCTCCCCCATTGCAGGTCTCCAAATTGTCTCAGAGATGGCTGACCCCCTGATTTCCCATCTCTCTCACAGACCTCTGGCCTCCTGCCCACGCTCTCCTCACATATGATCCCCAGCCTCCTTTTCCTCTCCACCCCATCTCTTACCCAGGTCCCTCTCTTCATCCACTTCCACTGTCTGTTCTTTTTCCCCTTCTGATTTACAATATTTTTTAACATTTTCACAAAAGAGCCAACGAATATGTGAAATGAGGTCTTCCATTTTGTACGAAATATATACTTTTTATTGTGTATCCACAAAGAATATCTTTAAACTATTTAAGATTCCATGTGTAATTATATTTAATATGTAACTATGAGCTTCATAAAATTATAAAATTCTTGTATGTTCAATCAAGAAGTTTTTAAAATCTTAAATCTTTAATTTCATGATTTAAATTACAAAAATAGACTACATTTAAATTTCATGAAAATTCTAAAGTCTTATAATAATTATTATGTTCATTCTTCTAGGTTCTGTTTATTGATCCTGCTCAAGAATATACCTTGGACTTTATAAGTTTGGCAGAATTTTTTTATTATAATGAAATTCCTCTTAGGTAATTATAAATTTACATTATTAAGCTGTAAACTGCGGTAAATCTAGTGCTGCCTATAATGTGTTACAGGGAGTATGACTGTGCTTTTAAAGCAGCAGATCTCATGGCAGGAACATGACTTGAGTTGTGAAATATCCTGACCCTCCTTTCTGGTAGACTCTGTCAGTCAAAGCTGAACAGTTCTTACCTATCTGCTAGCTTTCTCAGGAAATAGTAGGATTACTCTGGAGATGTTAGGGCCACTCAAGCATGTCTGACATTTTTCAGAACTGTAACAGCTGTGAGATTTGCGTAAATGGGCAAATTCCCTTTCCCCACATCTAATATGTTCCCTCCCCATCTAGATGTTGCAGGGTAATATCTCAGTAGTTTGTTATTTCAGAGGTGGCTGTGGCATTGTTGATTTGTCCTCTTTCCCCAGAATTGGTTTTGTGTTCATTCTTAATGTGGATAATGAAGTTGATGGAGCGACAGATGCTGGAGTTGCACTTTGGCGAGCTTTCAATTATATTGAAGAAAAATATGATGTATTAGAAGCATTTATTTCCATGACACATGTGAGTTTGTGCACTAGATAAGGTTTTTCAGAATAAATGATTTTCTTGTATTGCTATGTTTATTATTATATCATTCTAAATATATAAAAAAGTTCCGGGAAGTTAGTATGGCTAAGTTTGATCCTTGCCCACAAAGATGCCGTATGTCAGTGCCCTCCTGCAACCCCGTCGCTGCAGCGGGGCTGTGGCTAGGTCCCAGGGGCTTTCTGGCCTGCCAGCTTTGCCAAAAGTGCGCTCTAGGCTCGGGGGGGGGGGGGGGAAGACACTCCAAGGCAGTCTCTGGCCCACACATGTGCACACAGATAGACATACCACCACCATTTTTAAAAGGAGAGATGAGAAAGAATGAGAGGCATGTAGGTGTGCTTACCACATTGAGACTAGGAAGAGAGGAGACCAGCTAGAGATGTGTATCCTGGAGAGCAGTCAGAGTGAGAATGATGGTAAAGTTAGTGTCTAATACGACATAAGTGGTTATCATTTTGAAAGTTCTACAGCATCTTAACTATTTTCTTAAATATGGTTTAAAGATAGTGCATGACCACTTTCTCTATAATAATGTGCATATTTAGTGCCCTTAGTGATTGTAGCTTCATTGATGGAGTACTTGCCTACCGTACATGAAGCTCTGAGTTTAACCCCAGCACTGCAAGAACCAGATGTAATCACAGCACTAGAGAAGTGAAGGCAGAACGCACTTGAGTTCAAGGTCATCCTTGGCTGCACAGTAATTTGAGGGCAACCCTGGGGCTTATGTGACCTATTTTCAAAATCAGCAAACAAAAGAAATGGTCAGACACACTCTTTATTTTGCAAGTAGAATTATAGTCTTAGAAAAATAAAGCCAGTTACTGTAGGAAAAAATATATCTTGTTTCCACAGATGTACCAAAAAGTGAAGGATAATCAAATACTCGCTGTGGATAACGTGAAAAGTATTCTTCAAAATAAATTTCCTTATGCTGACATTTTGGATATCTTGGGAACCCATTCCAAGTATGATAGAAGAAGAATGGTAAGACGGGACACAGTGTAAAGCAAATGCCAGGCACAAAAGCAATGCCTTGGGGTCTTAGCCCCATGAGGAGCACAAGGGCGCACAGCTACGGGGCACGAAGCAGGTCACCAGAGGCTCTGGGTGGTGTGAGGACTTGGGAAAACATGAGTGAGGAATACGTTTCAATTAGACCAGAAGACTAACTTTAAGAGATTTGATAAACATGGAAATACTTATAATACCAATATATCTGATACTTGAAATGAGGTTCCAAGATCTGTCATCACATAAACACATATATGGAAGATAATTTCCACTTTTTGTATCCAGTATTTGAGATGCCTGTGAACTTCGGGAAGTGTGAAATGCACTGAACATATGTGTCTAAGCCCCAAAGAGACGTAGGCTAACAGTGTGGAAGTATATCACTGGCTTGTCTCTGCTCATTAATATCTTGAAATACACAGGTTGCTTGATCACAAGTTGTACACTGGGAAGAGCTGTATTTCCAGCAGGGATATCTTTTTAAACGTCAACACACATGCATTCAGGGCTGCGATATGGCTCAGTTGGTGAAGTACCTGTCTGTAGGTATGAGGATCCGAGCTCAGATCCCCAGTCCCATTTTAAAAGATGAAAAGCTGCCAACTGTGGCACATGCCCAAGAGAGCAGTGTGCCTCTGGCTAACGGGCAGTTGATGAGCTTCAGGTCCCATGAGAGACCTTGTCTTAAAATTCTTTTGCAAGCAGGTGGGAAGCCATTGCAGTGATGCCAGCATGAACTCCTGTGCTCCATACACTCGTACTCACTCATGCTCCTGTAACAGACACACTGTGCACACACGCACACGCACAGACACCAGAAAGAAGGGCAGACATTTGCCCAGGGGATTTCCCATAAGCATATGACGTCATAGGCATCTAAAACTAAGCCCACTGTGTCCCTTGTTACCCCAAACCTGTTTTCTTCTTCATGTTCCATAGTTGTCACAGGCTGCCTCTGCTGGAAGTGTGTGGGCATCCTAACCTGTTTGTTTTCCTCCACATTCTCCCAAACAGCCATCAGGTTCATCAGTTCTGCCTCTGAACTGCTCCTGACACTGACCTTGCCTGCTGCACACCATTCTGGGTCTTGTCTGTTTTCGTACATCATTGTTGTGTTCTTTTTAAAATAAATAAGATGACCATACAGTTGTCATTGAACCGTCGTGCTGATGGTATTGGTCATGTCATTGATACCTCTGGGAACTTTATTCATGCCTGTTTTAATTTATCCATCTTTCCTTCTACTAAGGTGCTACTTTTGTTTACGTATGTTCTTCGCATGCATTCGTTGTCTTAAAATAACAGATAGCTTCCCAGTAAGCACCTACATTATACAGGACTGTGGTTAAGAGTTCTCTTCTCAGACAGATCTGGGTACAGATGGTAGAATAGTGCTCCAAGCTCAATATCTCTACTCTGAATTTCCAACTGCTTCAGAATCTGAAAACATTCGGTCATGACTTAGCATTTAGATCTTGGATATGAATTATGAAAGAGTCTGCACACATTTCAAAATTTAAGTACTTTTGATCCTATCTGAGAAGGGGAGCACTGAATTTGTACTTAGTTTCCTAGACTGCTTGTGAGAATGTCAGTTCTAATAATAATCCTAACAGTTAGGATCAGATGTCAGGTGAATGACTTACTCACAAAGGGCAGGCCCGACACTGAGGACCTCTGTGATCTGACTTCTGAGAGTCTCTCTGCAACCATACCTGACAGTACAACAGCCTGTGTTTATCGCCATTACCTAAATGTGCCATCTTCTCACTTCCTTCTAGTTCTTCATCTGCTGTCCCTTCACTTGGACTGTCTTTCTCCATTTTGTCTTCCTGGAAAGTTTTTATTCATCTTTTAAAGCTTTCAATGTCATTGTCTAACAGGAGCCTTTACCTAACCCTTCCTCTTCATGCTCAGACTTGTTAAATGATCCTTTTATGGACACACTTCGAACCTTGCTTTAATTTGTAAGTATTTAGTGAACTTTGAAGAACAGTATTGAGTCTATTTTCAGTGTGGGTAACATAATTCTCATGAATTGAGTCAAGAAGTCTTTATGGAATAAGTGAATAATACAATAGTTTTTAATATAGATAACTTTTGATTTTAAGTAAATGTCATATCAAATGTCAAGAATCAACAGGGCCATCACTGCTTGCTTGTGTAAATAACTTTTAGGACAACCAAAAAATGTGTTCATGAATTTTCTGTTAATCTCCTACAACTAGCAACCCTTGTTAGAAGATACTTTTAAATTCTTGCTTTATGTGGTTAGATTTTCTTTGAATGTATAGGTATAAATAACAAAATTAAGCATTTTTCCTATGACATAAAAATATGGCACTGTTTCTTTTTGTCTTACATTTCTTTTTAAGTAGCTGTGTTGTGTTTGACACTGGTATCTCTAATAAATAGGCAGGAGCAAGCTTTTATAAGATGACTGGCCTAGGTCCTTTGCCTCAGGCTCTTTATAATGGGGAACCCTTTGACCTCAAAGAGTTGAACACTGAAGCACTGAAAGGAGTTGTTCTGGAAAAAATGATGGATACATTTGTATATCTACAAAGAGATGTTTTTATGGTAGGTACACCCTTATAAGAAAAAATATGACACAAATGACATAAGTATATTGAAATTTTTAATGGCCTAAGTTATATGAAAATGTTCACCCTGATCATTTAATAATTAATAATTAAATTTATAGATATCATGAAAAATAGATTATTTGAATTATTTTATAAGATAATCCTAAATAATGTAATCCTAATTTAAATCCCAAATTAAATGCTCTTTTAAAATATTTAAATATATTTGTATGAATTACTTACATAACAAAAATATGCATGTAACTTGCCCATATTAATAAAGTAATATGTTTCTATTTTAGGGCATATTAAATGATGAAATCAATGCGATTGATTTCCTGATGGATAAGAATAATGTTGTACCCCGCTTAAATTCTTTGATTTTGCACACAGAACCACAGTACCTTAATTTATTATCTTCATCAGGTAGAGAACCATTCTTATACTGTACACCAAATGCTTATTGTGAATGGCTTATTAATCATTATTAAACATTTGTTATTTCAGTAACTGCTGATATTGAAGATTTCTCTACTTTCTCTTTCTTGGATTCACAAGATAAGAGTGCTGTGATTGCAAAAAACATGCATTATTTAACTCAAGGTAATGAGCATATTTTTCTATGATTTATTCCTGAAGTAATAAAAACATTAGCTTTAGTAAGGTGCTTGGATAACAAATGCTACTATGTTTCTATTTTTGGCTAGGGGCTTGGATTTCAACTTGGCAGTTTATAATTTATTACATTTTAACAGTTGTTGCAGTTGAGAAAGTGTTCCTCTTATCCTCATTAATCATATATGCAGCCTTTTTTAAAAAAGTATGTTAATCCATTTTTGCCATTTAAAAAAGTAATAAAGCCTATTAAAACCTATTTGGTAAGTTCATAAATAAAAGTGTAATTTCTATATTAAATGAGATAATAGTGTTTCTCCTTTATGAGTCAACAAAATCTGGATGTCTTGCTAAAGATGGGATCACAACAAGAAAAAGAGAGACCAAGACAGTTTATACACTTAGAAATAAGGACGTAGGTTAAAAAGAGAAGTCTGAAGTTGGACCACAGATTTGGTCCATAAAGCTACAACTTTATGTTTAAATAGGTAAATAGAATTTGGTTAGTTAGATTTTGCTTTGTTTGTCCTGCTTTGAGGTGGTTTGGTTTGCTTTGGTTAACATATCTTTGTTCCCTCATTTTATTTTAATTGAAATGGATTTTACACAATATTATTTTTACATATTTTATACCATGATTATTTTTAAGATTATTTTAATGTCAAAACATTTTCTTTTAAATTTTATTTATATATTTATTTATTACAATTTATTCACTTTGTATCCCAGCTGTGGCCCGCTGTTCCAGGGTCTCTCATTCTCTGCACATTGTATAGCTGTGGGTCTCTGCATTTATTTCCATCTGCTACAGGAGGAACCTTATCTGATACTGACTGAGCAACACACTGTTCTATGAATATAGAACAATGTCACTAGAGGTCACTTTGTTGCTACATTTCTTGAGCAGAACAGTAGTATTTGTTATTTTCCCTAAATCACTGACCATCGATTCTAAGGTTCTAGGCCCCCAGCATGTCAAGCAAAGGTTCCAGCTTGTGGAGTGGGATAGAAATCCAATCATGTGTTGGTTGGTTACTCCCAGCCAATTTTGGGGCCATTATTTTACTAGTGAGTCTTGCATGCAGCTCATCATTGTGAAGCACTGAGTTTGTAGCTGAATTGGTGTTGACCTCTTTGCTTTGGTAGTAGGAAAGTACCCTGTGTATTAGTCGGTAGAGGTGAAGGCTCCAGATAGGCACCAGCTTGGCCACTTCATGTTCAGTCAGTTGTCTTCAGCAGTAGCACCTTATCATCAGTTTGTGGAGAGCAACTTGTCAGTAGCCTATGTGGTGTGGCAGTTCCCATGGGGCCCCGTTGGCCACACCTCCATTGCTATACCCCAGTCCTGGAAGTGGAGTATTCATTATGTGCCGAGGGATGCCCAGCTACGGCTTTGTCTCTCCCATTATTCAGCAATTCCAGCTATGTCACTGTGGTGGTTTCAGTGAGTAAGACCACCGTAAACTCACGGTGTGAGTGCTTGGCCCATAGGGAGCAGCACTGTTAGGAGGCGTGGTCTTGTTAGAGAGTGTGTCACTGTGGGGAGGGGCTTTGAGGTCTCCTATGCTCAAGCTATGCCCAGACAGTGGCACTGTCTCCTTCGGCTGCCTGCAGATCAAGATGTGGAACTCTGAGCAGCTCCAGCACATGTCTGCCTGTGCATGGAAAACACGGTTTTTGAATTCTAAGATACTTACTTTGAGAGGCCAGCCTGGTCTACAAAGTGAGTCCAGGACAGCCAAGTCTACACAGAGAAACCCTGTCTTGGAAAAACAACAACAAATACTTATTTTGTGGGGTTTAAGCAGAAATTTTTATTTTCCTTTATTTTGATTTTAGAAAAAATTAATTTTGCTTGACTGTTTGCAAATTTCAGACAATATGATATCTGCCGTCACTTTGTGGATTATTGCTGATTTTGATACCCCTCCTGGGAGGAAACTGCTTTTTAATGCATTAGAGCACATGGTGAGTATATACTCTCCCTGAGTGAGAATAGTGCTCAGCTGTCATTCTCTTCCATGTCAATAACATGCAAGCTCATGTGGTTAGTGCATAGTGCTAAGAGAGCAAGTCAGGGAGTCACACACAAACTCCATATAAGACAGTTGTTCTCCTGGTGAAAATACCTTGCGACTGTCCCCAGATGTTGTTCTTTTTCCTTTTCGTAGTCTTCTTTTTTCAAACTACGTGTGTGTGTTTCTGAAATATGTTTAATAATCTACTCAAATAGTGAGACAGAGACAGAGATACAGAGGAAAAGCCTATTTGTCTCCAGTGAACTCAAATCTGTGTTCTAAAATGGCAGCTAGGTATAGCAATTGTTGGTTTGAGTAATTGTAAATCAGTTCTTAGGCAGGATGGTTTTTGTATTTCAGGGTGCTTTTTAAAATGAACATCTATATTTTTAATTTTTATTTATTTATTATTTATTATAGTTTATTCACTTTGTATCCCAGCTGTAGCCCCCTCCCTTATCTCCTCCTAGTCCCACCCCCACCCCCCACTTTCCTCCCCTAGTCCATTGATAGGGGAGGTCTTCCTCCCCTTCCATCTGACCCTAGCCTATCAGGTCTCATCAGGACTGGCTGCATTGTCTTCCTCTGTGGCCTGGCAAGGCTGTCTCCACCCTCTCAGGGGGAGGTGATCAAAGAGCCAGCCACTGAGTTCATGTCAGAGACAGTCCCTGCTCCCATTACTAGGGAACCCACTTAGAGACTGAGCTGCCATGGGCTACGTCTGAGCAAGGGTTCTAGGTTATCTCATGAATGGTCCTTGGTTGGAGCATCAGTCTCTTCAGGCCCCCCTGTGCCCAGGTTTTCTTGGCTCTGTTGCTCTCCTTGTGGAGCTCCTCTCCACTCCAGGTCTTCCTCTCTCCCTTCTTCCATAAGATTCCCAGCACTCTGCCCAAAGTTTAGCTATGATTCTCAGAAGCTGCTTCAATACCCTGCTGGGTACAGTCTTTCAGAGGGCCTCTGTGGTAGCAGAGAATTCTCAATAGAAGAATATCAAATGGCAGATAAACACTTAAAGAAATGTTCAGTGTCCTTAGCCATCAGGGAAATGCAAATCAAAATGACCCTTAGATTTCACCTTACACCCACCAGAATGACTAAGGTCAAAAACTCAAGTGACAACACATGCTGGAGAGGTTGTGGAGAAAGGGGAACCCTCCTCCATTGCTGGTGGGAATGTAAACTTGTCCAACCACTTTGGAAATCAATCTGGCGCTTTCTCAGACAATTAGGAATAGTGCTACCTCAAGATCCAGCTATACCATTCCTAGACAAATATCCAAATACTTGACAAATATCAAGTACACAACAAGGACATTTGTGCAACCATGTTCGTAGCAGCTTTATTTGTAATAGCCAGAAGCTGGAAACAACTCGGATATCCCTCAACTGAGGAACAAATACAGAAATTGTGGTACATTTACACAATGGAATACTACTCGGCAATTAAAAACAAGGAAATCATGAAATTTGCAGGCAAATGGTGGGAACTAGAAAAGATGATCCTGAGTGAGGTAACCTAGAAGCAGAAAGACACACATGGTATATACTCATTTATAAGTGGATAGTAGTCTGTAATATAGAATAAATCTACAAAAATCTGTAATCCTAAAAAGATAAACAACAAGGAGGACCCTGGGTAAGATGATCAATCCTCATTCAGAAGGCCAAACAGGACAGATATCAGAAGTAGGAGAAGACAGGGAACATCTGTATTTCTAAGTGAGCTGTTATGTCTTTATTTTTAAAATTAAGAAAAACATCAAAATGTTTTATGACATTTTTTAATTAGTTCCTTGTAAGTTTATTGCTAAACAGCAAATTATTACCAAACTTAATGACTCAAAACAGTGTTTTTTTCTCGCCGGTTTCCGAGAGCATCTTAGATAAGGAGGTTGCAGTCTCAATGTGCCTCCTGCTGCACAGTCGGTGCTCTTGGCAGGAGCTGAATGTTGGCCTTCTGAGGTGGCACACTTATCCTGCCTGTGGCAGATGGACCAAGTGCTTCATTCCATTGCCACATAAACCTGGTGCATGCACATGGACTTGCACGTGTGAGCAAATGTGTGTGTGTGTGTGTGTGTACACGAATGTGTGTGTGTGCGAGAATGTGTGTGCTTATATACACGTGTGCACGTGTGCATGTGGGTTGCTAAGGAATGCTCAGAACACGGCATCTGGCTGAGTCGAGAACAGGGGATTATATGAGGGCAAAACTACAGTTCGGCTATGAGACAGTCTCAGAAGTTAGAGCCTGTATTTTCTGTTGCTTGGGGGAGGTGTCTGTTGAGTGTGAGAAGGGGCTGTGTAAGGCATGAAGTAGAGAGCGCGGCTTGTCGGGACCACCGTGCAGGCTGACTGCCACACTAGGAATTGGTGATATATTTTCAGTGAAGTGTGACACCTGAAGGGTTTTCATGTGATGCTAGACCATGTCAGAGTGCATTTGGGCTGTTACCAGTAACCTGTAGGCAATCAGATCTTTGGGGGAGCAGTACATTTTGGAGAAGTTAACATCTCCCTGCGTTTCTGAAAACATTCTGGAAATGCGCTGTCTGGGAGAACCGCACACTGCTTTGCTCTTCCCTCACAGTCACAAAATAATTCACTAGATTTAGTGGCTGAGTCTGAGATCTTGACAAGTGCTATCCTATTTATATCGTCTTGGCAGTGAATTATGCGATTTTAACTGTCCCTAAGCTCTTTAACATACAGGTATCTTCACAGCAGTTAATTTAAAATAGAGCATAAACGATGAGCTAAGGTGGTTGGTGGTAAAGGAACATGTCAGATCTGACGACCGAGTCCCTCCTGCAGGAAGGAGCCGTAAGTCAGCTCCTAGGCGGGGTGGTTGTTGTATTTCAGGGCGCTTTTTAAAATGAACATCTGTATTTTTAATTTTTATTTATTTATTATGTATTATAGTTTATTCACTTTGTACCCTAGCTGTAGCCCCCCTCATCTCCTCCTAGTCCCACCCCTATCCCCCATTTTCCTCCCCAGCCCCCCCACATAAATACAAAACTACTTTTTTTAAGAGCACTGATTTTGAAAAGTGAGAATATTTGGAGTCACAAAATTATATATTAGATATAAAAATTGAGGAAAGATAATCTTTGTTTAATATCATTATCATATATCTATAGGGTTTTTTTTTGCTGATTTTACCCAAGTATTTTAAATTGCTTTATTGATTATCTAAGTAGTTAGAAGTGAAGTTACCCAAAATCCTATGACTAAAGAATGTCATATAAGATTATAACCAATCCTTATTCATGTCATGAATGCCAAAATGCTCAAAGTTTAAACTGTCATATTTTGCATATTGTGGATATATAAATTATTTTAATTAATCTTTCTATTTGAATATGTTGTTAGTAGGTCTGTTTATAATCATAAAAATTACAATAAATAAGAAATTTTAATGAATATACTATTTTGATACTAGAAACCAGTGTAACAAAGTTTAATGTGAAGCTTTTGAAAGAAAGGACAGAAGTCCTATGTGAGTGGAAGGTATGTCATCATTAATGAAGAGGTCAATATTGTAAAGATGTTATCTCTGCCATAACTGATGTATAGCCTTAGTACAGTAGGGATATCCGTATTTTTTTTTACAATTGTCATAATAATTTGAAAATATAAGCAAAGATTCTAAGGACCAAGAATTACTAAAACACTTGAACAAAAAGGCCACACCCACTCCAGCAGCGTAGGTGTAGCATATCAGTAGATTGTGCTACTAGACAGGAGATCAGTAGATTGTGCTGCTATTCCGTGAGATGCTTCCCACGGGAATTGGCTCCCTGGAGGTCACTGGCAGAATAACCCCTGGCCACCTAAGCCAAAAAGGACGTATTCTGAGATTTCCACGCTACCTCGGTTGCAGGGTTGGATTGATGAGCTTTTTGTTGTTTCTCTTGAAACAGCACAATTAACTATTCAAGGAAACACATTTCCGATAGATTATTAGAAGCTTTAGCAAGAATAGAGTAAAAGAAAAATAAAATCTTAGAAATATTAATGAGTCAGATTCAGTATCAGAAATTGCTTGTAGAAAATCCAAACATTGTAGGTAATAAAAGAGTAAGAGCTTTACACAGGTGTTTGTGGTGAGTCAGAAGGAAGATAGGCAAACATAGAAGGTCAGAAGGTTTTTATTATACTATGAGTTTTAGCTCAAGCATCCTATCTCTAAAGGAAGATTGTAAACCCTTAGCAAGACAAACAGGAGGAATTCCCCTCAATGCTTATCTCTAGGGAGGGTTGTAAGTCTTTAGCCGACTTGGCTTGGAGGGCAATGACAGCCCCTGGCCTTCTCCTCTAATTAGCAGCAATAAAACTGTATAAATAGTCACAAGTTTAGAGTTCTGTGTTTGTTCTGCTTAAAAGCTTTTAGGCTAAGATTTTTTGTAGACACTGCTTTCTACCAGGTTGCTCTTTCAGTTAAATGTAAACTTTGTAAATGTTCCAGGAGGTATGTCAACTTTAAGGTGCTTCTTTATGAAATTACTATAAAAGTATTGGCTTGACTTCAGTAAATCACAGCAGATTCAGACACTCTCTGGTGTGTGCATCTGTGTGTCAAACCGTGTCTTCCTGATATCCAAACCTCTGGTTTTCCATGGGTGTGGGACCCAGGCTGGGTCGGTCCGTGGCAACAAGAGACTATAGAATAATTAATTCATCATTGTCAAAACCTTCTACAATGCCTACATAACTGAAAACATTTTTTTCTTAAACTCAAGAACAGGAATAGGAAGTACAGACCTGAAAAGCAGAGGCATGCGTGTCTTCTCAGCTCTAGGGTGAAGTTAGCCTGTGAGACAGTAAGGGCAATCCTTGACAGCCCTCCAGGCGTGGACCACATAGAAAGCCAGCTCCAGACGGTGGCAATGGCTTACACTTAAAGAGCAAAACAGCAAATCCCTGTGAAGAGTATCTCTTCACTGCAGAACAATTTCTAAAATGGACAAAAAAGCCTAGTACCAATCAGTTAAAATATTAGTAAAACTAGTGAAAATTAAAATTAAATACCAATTACATTCTATCAACTCACAGCATATGGTACAAGCCACAGAATGAAAGAACATAGCTGTTCTATGTTCACTCTGAGTTGCAACTAAAAAGCATTTGAACTGTTGGCACCAAATATATGCACAAGCAGTTGGGGGAGAAGGAAAGAAAATGTAATTATTTTAAAAGATTAAAAGTAGAGCAAAGAGTTTAGGGAGCGAGAGGCCAGTGCCATTGAGGGCGTGCTCAGTATCACTGATGAGGAGGAAAAGAGAGTAACACCCTCCCGCAGTGTCAGTCAGTACCGCACAGATGACCTAACTTTAACTGACAATGCAGACGGTTCCTGATCTCCTCTAGAAGAAAACACTAATACGTTGCTGGGGGAGTAGCAACCAATGGAGATATTTTATAAATCATTTGGCTGCTTCAACAACTAATAAAGCCTGGATAAAGAGTATATTCATCTCGTGGAGTTCTATATACTGCCAAAAATAACCACACAGCAACAGTATCGCGTTGTATTGACGGATAAGAGAGAACAGAGCTTCGCAAGCTATAGTAAGCCACTTCCTTGAACCTTGAGGTAGACTGAAGTTTAGAGTCAGGAATGTAAGGGACAGGAACTGAAGAGACTTGCTGTTACAAAGGGCAGGAGTGGCGATTTTAGGAGAGGGAGGCGTGTGGTAACTGAAGGCCTAGGGCAGTCTGGGCGACTACAGCACTCTGCCTCTTGACCTATGTAGCTGTTGGTGGTAGCTGAGATCACTGAATTATACACTTTGGTTGTATATGTTTTATGTATTCTTTTATACACTCAGGAAGTGATTGAATATTTTATTAGCAAAGAATCTTTGTACAAAGGAGAATGTCAATAGTTACTAGAGGATTGTTCTCTGCTTTTGTGGTAAAAATTCCTCATTCAGTACAGACAGTCCAACTGTGAAAGTAAGATACATGGTAAGATCAGACCTGAGGTAAACACGTATGTTCAACTGTAAAAGGCTATATCAAGTTCTGTTTTTCTAACCTGTAAATGTGTTTTGCAGGAAATAAGTATTCATAGTCGGCTAGGGATTGTTTATAATCCCACATCAAAGATAAATGAAGAGAACACAGTCATTTCCAGAGGAATTCTGGCAGCTTTTCTTACACATAAAAGCAGCTTGTTGAGACACTTCCTAAGGAAACTGGCAAAAGAAGAGACTGCTGAAGCAATTTATTCTGGAGATAAAATTAAAACGTTCCTTACTGTGGTCAGTAAAACAGTTGTGGGGGGTGTATTTCAAAAATATATTTTGTATTTTTAGAATACATTGTACCATGCTAATGAAAAATACGAGTAAGTATGAGAAGGTGGGAGTGATACCTGGCTGTACAGCGGAGCGTGGTGGGAGGTTGTCCACAGAGGAGATGGGGAATTGGCTATCTGTAAGTGGAGAATGCATACAGCTGTAATTTTGGTTTTTGTTTTTGGCAATTTTGAATTGTTTCTCAATCATGGTAACCATATTTTGAGCTAGATAACCATCTGTGACCATGGTTACCATATTGAATGATGCAGTGGAAAATTTCTGCCACCACAGGAGTGCCTGGCAACCTGCTAAAACTTTAGACCCTAAGGCCTCCTAGTCGTACTCAGAACATACCAAGGTGAACTTGTATGTACATTAGTGTCCAAAAGTACTAATAGAGAGAAGTGTGCCTCAGTAGGAAACTTTAAAAACTTTGACTGATTGATTTTCTATGAATATCTTTATAATTTTTTACTCTAATCGTGGATTATACTCAGTATTTCATTGGTTAGGTACAGTTATTAAATTGGCCTTCTGCAATTGGTATTCGGAGATGAGATGGAATATTTTTTTAATTTTTATTTTTTTTATATTAATCACAGGTTATTTACTTTGTATCCCAGCTGTAGCCCCCTTCCTCATTCCCTCCCAATCCTACCCTCCCTCTCTCATCTCCTCCCTGCCCCTTTCCAAGTCCACTCCTAGGGGAGGTCCTCCTCCCCTTCCAAGATGGAATATTTTTATCTTAAACATTATTCTTTAAGCAGCTAATATGAGATGCTAAGTTCAGGATTTAACAAACATTTCATCATTTAATGTTAAATTTGAATTAAACTCATATTCTCAAACATAATAATGATCCACAAATCCCCCTTAAATTGTTAAATAATGAATAATTTATAACTATGTATTTGGAACAAGATTTAAAGATTTTTGGGAACAATTTGGCAAAAGAATATTATTTCTTTAAAGTGTTGCATCAGAAGAAAATAACATTTTTAAATCATAATTTGCATAATTTTATTAATATTAATAAAGTGGGATTCTATGAATAAATTATATATGGTCACTTCATTATTTGATTCATTTTTAACTTGTACCATAGGATATGGATAAGAATGCTTTTGAGAAAAAATATAACACCGTTGGAGTAAATATTTTCCGAACTCACCAGTTATTTTGCCAAGATGTGCTGAAATTGCAGCCGGGCACGATGGGCATTGTCAGCAATGGCAAAGTAAGTGAAGAGGCAACATCTTACACTTTACTGGACACCGGCACAGTGGGCATCACCCAACATAGTGATGTGATGTTCCCAGTTCAAGGGTGGAGCTCATGTATTGCACACTAGTCAGAGGTCAGGATGGGTAAGATGGCGCAAGAACCCCTGTCCCTGCGCCAGCTGTGGTGACGTCTCTGTGCAGCAGTTCTGGAAAGCAGAGTGCTCCCCATGCTTCCAGCTTCATCTTGTTCTCACGACACGTGTTGTTGTGACAGTGCTCCGTCACAGCTCGAGACAGTGTGCAGAACACACTGTTCCAGCTTTTTCTCCTGTGCCTTTTCCTGCAGTTTTTATGTCGCGTGACAAGCAGCTCCTACACTCTGAAGTATGTGTACACTGTCATGCGTGAACATAGTCTTTTCGGAGCTGTTAAGAGCTCTCATTCTCGTTGTTCTGAATCACTATTAGCAGCCCATTATTTTGCTTTCCAGCTCTTCCCTACAGGAGACACATCTGTTTCTCTTAAAGGCTTGGTTTTAGCCCCATCTGTAATTCTACATGGCATTGTAATGTGGAGGTCAGAGAGGGGGGCTGTTGGAGCTATCACTCTTCCTCTAATGTGTGCCCTCAGTGTTGAGCTCAGGTTGCCACACTCTCCCACAGGGGCCTGGGCAGCTGGGCTGCTTAGGCAGTGGACGTCATGCTTTTTTTCTCTTCAGCTGCTGCATTTAACTCATCTGTCTTTATAAACAAATACAGAATAAGTAGATGACACAGGCTTATCAGTATTGTTATGGTTGATGGCCTCATTTTACTTCTTACCAGTTATTTAAGTAAAAACTTAAACAGTTATTTAAAAAAAATAGAATCTGATCATTAAGTTTATTAAACTGGCTTAACATATCATTCAGCAAGTATCAAATTATGTTAAAAGTTGTAACGCACTCCAAAAGTTTTCTACATTTTTTGAATGTATGTGATTTTTTTAATTTATTATTTGTAGCACCCTCCCTTGTCCCTTTTGATCCCACCCTCCCTCCCTCATCTCCCATGCCCAAGTCCACTGATAGGGGAGGTCTTTCTCCCCTTCCATCTGACCCTAGTCTATCAGGCCTCATCAAGACTGGCTGCATTGTCTTCCTCCGTGGCCTGGTAAGGCTGCTCCCCCCGTCAGGGGGAGGTGATCAGAGAGCCAGCCACTGAGTTCATGTCAGAGACAGTCCCTGTTCCCCTTACTAGGACGCCCACTTGGAGACTGAGCTACCATGGGCTACATCTGTTCAGGGGTTCTAGGTTATCTCTATAGTTTTCTACATTTTTATGAACTCTGTTCACCTCTGTTAAAATCATATTCATTAGATCTGGAGAGATGGCTCATTAGTTAACAGAGCTTTCTGCTCTTGCAAAGATGTACTTTGGTTCCCAGCATCCATGCTAGGTAACTCAAAATTACTTGTAACTCCAGGTCAGGAAATCCAGTGCCACCTTCTGACCTCTGCAGGTACCCAAACACACATACATGTGTCAACAACACAGAAATAAAAATAAAATAAACCTTTCTTTAAGAATCATAATCATCTCTGAATAGTGCTATTTTACAAACTGATAGCAAACATTACTGCTTATTAAAATAAGTAGCAATCAATATGATAGTGAGCATTGCAGAAGTCCAGGGATGACCTTACTTCCTGTTGCCATGGAAAGAAAAACCACTTTTTAAAGGTACTTTTCAAGCATATGATGGTCTTTGACTCCCTATACTGTCTGCTGGACAGGGTGGGCTGTTACGGCTCATGGGCTTGTTCAGGAGCAGTGAAGGGCGACAGAACTAGCTGTCACTCAGATGCACTGCATCCATCTCTGCAGGCCCAAGGAGACGGATCACCCTCTTCATCCATTAAGAAATAACTTAGGAAATGCAGCCAGTCCTGATGAGACCTGATAAACTAGGGTCAGATGGAAGGGAGGAGGACCTCCCCTATCAGTGGACTTAGAGAGGGGCAGGGAGGATATCAGGGAGGGTGGGTGGGGAGTGGGAGGGAATATAAGAGGGGGCTACAAAGTGAATAGACTGTAATTAATATGAAAAATAAAAATTTAGAAAAAAATAGAGAAAAAAAGAAATAACTTAGGATCCGAGGACCCTATCCTAAGTTACTAATAAAACTTCTCAAACGGCTGGAAGTAGTATATCTATAATTTCACTCTTTTCCAGCCCTATCTACTCAATGATAAAAACAAACAACAAAAACATCGAAACTGATTTAAGAGTAAATTTATATCAAAATTTAAAGTGAAAAGAAGTTAACATGAATGCGTTTGGTGTAACAGTGTCTGCATCTGTGTTAAGGCCCTGTGGTTTATGTTTACAATGACATATTATTTGGCCTCTCATGTCACCTCTGAAAGAGTTCAGTGTTGTGCTGCCAGTGCGGCCGTGACTTTTCAACAATGTACACTACAGAAGCAGCTGAAGGGGAGGGACATGATGATCTGTCTGAAACCAGGCTCTCTAATCTATCCAAAGAAAACAGTATTCTATATGACATGGTCTTTAGTTGTTACATGTCATGGTGTCCTGTCTAAAATTATGTCGGCCCTGGGTTCTACGTTAGGACCTTGCATACATGATACTATAGTCACCATACACGATAGCTCCCTCAGAAAATGCCCAAGGCAGCACACTTGATGGTGGTGTTGGAGTAAACATGAAAAAAGAAAATTTTCTAACAATAAAACTATCTTCATTTTAAGTTTTTAGGTCCTTTAAATGAAGAGTTCTACATAGAAGATTTTTACTTGGTTGAAAAGGTAACATTTAGTAATTCCGTAGAGAAAATTAAAGACGTTGTTGAAAATATGGAAGTCAACCCGAAACAGTAAGTATGTAAAAGTCTTAAAGGAACTCTTTGGAAGTTTTGTGTTTTACATGTTCTTTTTTTTCCCTTTTCTTTCTTTTGTTCTTTTTTCTTTCTTCTTTTCTTCATTCTTTTTTCTTCTTTCTTTTCTTCCTTCCTTCCTTTCTTTTCTGTCATTTTTGTTTTGTTTTCTGAGACAGAGTTTCTCTGTGTAGCCTTTGCTGTCCTAGAACTCATTCTGTAGACCAGGCTGACTTCAACCTCAGAGCTCCTCCTGCCTCTGCCCCCTAAGCGCTGGGATTAATAGTATGTACCACTGCTTCCTGGCTTATATATATATTTTTTAAAGTTAGAAAGTGTATTGATATTTAGAAAACTAAAGATACATAGTAAAAGACATAGAGAAGATGAATCATCAACCGTTTATTTGCCATCACTTAACTCTGAGGACAATGCCATTCTTTCTCTTTGTCTTGTATCCAGCTAGCTCCATCTGCTTCTTTCACGAAAGAAGCCATTTTCATAAAGACTGTGTGCATAGGTCTCATATGCTTACTGTATGCTTTGGCTTCAGCTGTAAATAGCCCTGTCTATGGTTACTGTATTGAACTTTGCCTCTTCCTGGAGAAGTGTGAATACACTGCATGTCTCTTGCAGCTTACTTCTGTAAGATCAGCCATAGCTGCGCATCCAGAGAGAGTCTCTCTAGAGTTGTTAACTGTAACATAAAACATGACCCTTCTCTTCCTGGAAGTCTCACGCATTCTTATCTGCTTATATAGCACAAGTGACCTTGTGATGAAATTGGATGTACTCATTTCTTCATTGTCTGTGCGTGCCACTCGGTATAACATCACGTTACTCAAAGAGAATCTCAGGTAATACTGTGAACACTATCTGACGTTTTCTCTACTACTGAATTATGTTATGCATTCTTTCCACTTGTCATGCATTATTTCCATTTTTTTATAGCATAATAAAATTAAAGTCCTCTGCTCAGTAAGAAGACAGTCAGTAACATAAAGAGAAAGGACTATCTAGGACATAGTTCAGTGGTAGAATACATGTTTGTCTTTCCTGCATGAGACCCTGGATTTGATCCCTTGTTATGGATTTGATATGGATTTGATCCACACATCTAGTCGTACAGCCTAGTGAATAAAAATGCAATTAGAATGTAAACTTTTAAGTTATTCTTAGCATGATTTTTATTTAATATTCAATATTATTAGTAACTAAGTGTCTTCAGTCATTATAACCAATACTGTTTCTTCAGTATGTGAAAGACTCGTTTCCCCAGTGCTGGGCTTGTAAATGTGCAGCACACACAGAGCAGAGAACTGTCTTTACTCTGTAATGTGGTGCATTAGTTAAATGATGCCTTTGGCACTAAGTCACAGTAAGAATTAGCAGTTGTCTGGGGGAAATCACCTCAGACCGAAGCCATAAGACAACCAGTTTCTAAGGTGCTACAATATGACAGTGACTTGTAGAATTTCTGCAAGAGAACTAAAAGCAGCAACAGTTGTGGAGTCATATTATTAGATCATCTACCTTGTAAACCTTACTTCTAGCAAAGTTACCCGAGATCCATTGACTCTGCCACTCTATTATAGCACAGATCACAATTTCAGGTGAAAGGAAGTTTCACTCCTTCTGTTTGAAGTAAACATTTTATTTCACTGTTGAACACTAGTTTTCTCACTGCGAAGTCTGTAACAAAGATGATGGTTATCCCAGTGACTGCAGGTGTGTAGCCCTTGTTGTGGTGACCTTTCTCCACTGTCAAATGAACAGTTCTTCCTTCATCTAAAGAGAATGCTTTAATGTGACTGCAGTTAAGGCGGAAATTAAGTTGGCATAGTCTTTCATTTAATGACATACATAGGATTTGTCATCGCCCACTGGTGCTTTTGTTTCCATCTTCTTTTAAATTAAGTCCAACTCTTAATTTATGATTTAGATCAATTGGAGACACATGGGAAAGGACAGGAGGGAAGGCAGTAAAGAGAGAAGGCTGGGATCTAAATAAATTATGACAATTTTGACTATGTTTCTTTCTAATTTCCCTGTGGTATGTATTGATTTTCTGCAATGCCAAATTAGATAAAAATATTTAATATTAATTCTCAAATCTAAAAAAAAATATATTCACCTAACACAAAAAGCATATTGGTTTTATTTTTCACATAATGCAATCCATGAAAAACTATCAGTAATTTTGCTGTAGTAGTCTTATTCTTTAAAGCATATTTTAATTGCATACTTATAAGATACTACATTTTTTCAAATTCTTTATAACCTTAATGTATTGTACACAGATAAATTAATAATGTATTGCACACAGATTTCAGATCTGCTTTTTATTATGTGAAATAATCAGAATTTTTAGCTAAGGGGGAAAGCAAGCAACTCACAAGAATGTGCATCGCTAAGATCACAGTTACAGAGGTGTTCACATAAACTTAACCTACTATGCTTGTCTCATTTTTGTTGTTCTAGTGTTATAAAGATAAATCCTCCAGAGAATGACGTGTTCTTTGATGTCACTGCTATTGTTGATCCTTTGACAAGAGAAGCTCAGAAGATGGCACAGTTACTGATTGTAAGATAGTGCAAATCACACTACACCTTCTCATTTTGAAACTTACATTCTCATGTCTGTTTTTAAGTGTACGGAAGTGTTTGTGCTCTCCTCAGTTCTTCACACCGTCTGACATTTTAGACACACACGTATGAAATGCATGTATTTGACTGTATAATAATAGAAGTGTGCGTGAGTGTTGCAGCAGCATTTAGGCTGGGTGTTGCTGGAGCTGAGTTGCTTTTCGCTGCAGGCTTCATGCTGTGGCATGTGAAGTGTGCTTTGATGTGCTTTCCAAGTTCTACCTGTCAGCGTGACTATGAAGTGGGGCATTAAGTGAACTCATAAGGAAGAGGTTCTGGTCATATCATACATGATCTTGTAAACAGAAATAGAAATTCCACATCTCTTCCATTATCTCCCCATCCCTCTATCTCCTAGAGCACACAAAGAGGTCAGGTAGGCATAAAAACATGACAGCTGCCTTCTAACCAAGAGACAGAGAAGAGAGTGCTCATGGAAGCCAAGCAAATAGACTTTCATCTTGGGCTTCTCAGCCTCCAGAACTGCGAAAAAATAAACTTCTGTATTTAAGCCACTCAGTCTGGCATTTCATTATGACAGCCTAAGCAAAGCATTGTCTTCCCATGTTGTGAGTGACACCTTTTGGAGAAGCCAAATTTCACTTTATTTAGGTAAAGTTTAAAATTCAGTGAGTGATGATGACCAAGCAGGCAGAGCTCAGGGAAAGAGGGACATAGAGATTGTGTTCAGTCGATTGTATCTGCTTCCTTTAGCAAGGGCCGAAATAACAGTGTCCTCAACAAGATGAAGTCACCATGTCATGTAGCAGTTAAGCACAAGCTGCTCGAGCTGCTGACACTGTCAGGTAACTAAGGTCACTGTCACAGCGTAAAGGGGAGAACAGAGCCACAACCCCAAAGTTCCACAAGTGACCAGCAGTAGTAATGATGAGAGGCTGGAACTATGTCCAACAGCCTTTCATAAAGATGAAAACGTGGGGGAAGTCTGGTGCTGTGACTTCTGCTGAAGTCCCAGTTTATGGCCATGCTGGGCTGCATAGCCAAACCCTGTCTAAGATAGAAGGATGGAGGGGAGATGAGAGAAGAAGGGAGGGAGGGAGAGAGGGAAGGAGAAAGAAAGGAAGGAGAGCAGAAGGAAGGAAAGTAGGAAGGAGTGAAGGAAGGAAGGAAGCTAGCTGAATGTTCATAAAATGTTCTCAACTAAAGGCAACTAAGGAATGCTAAGAACTGGAGAAATGGGGAAGACCACACCAATTTGTCACCCAATAGCATATGGTCAGCCCTGTAAACATACATACAAGTAACAAGTAAATAGCAGGTGCTCTTTATGTATTTACATATGTGTGTGTGTGTAACATAATTTAAAAGAAATGAGCCCATGAACTTGAAAGAGAACAAGATGTGTAGAGGGGCATACATGGAAGGACTTGGGGAGGGGAAAAAGAAGGGGAAATGACATAATTATAATATCAAAAATTGTTTAAATAAAGAAATAAATTCTCAGAATTGGAAACTCCTCTGACAGTTGACTTCCCTTTTGGAAACAGACCAACGTGTAAACAGTAAGTCTGATGGATAATGTTAATGGTCACGTGAGGTGATATTGGCGCATATTCTGTTAGAATTCCATGTTTTAGCTTTCTCAGACAATAGGCCATAATAAAGGAATGTATTGTAAGTACTTGTATGAATGTATGTATTAATTTGGATGATAATCTTGGACCTTGGTGTTGTTTTCGTTCAGAGTATAAACAGCACAAAGTTAACACCATGGCTGTTTCACTGTTCTTTGTTAACATTGGTGTGAGCATTGTGTGAGCTTCTTGAAGTTCAGTACTCAAATGATCCCTGACTGTTAGTGTACAGCTTCCCTAAGCCCATGGAGAATTGTTATTCAGAAGAGAATGTTATTTTATGTTTAAGTAAGAGAGGAATTGCATGTCACTATATTTCTTTGATAATAGCATGTTTTATTTCTATACAGTTTAATTTTTACTTTATAAAATATTATACTTATAAAATAATATTTTAAGAATTGTCTATAGTTTCCAGCTTCTCTTGTCACTCATCTCCTGTAGTCAGACAACTGGCTCGACTGTATAGCGATGGCCTAACATTTGAGGGGCAAACTGGTCATCCTGTGACCTCCACAGTGACGAATAGGAGTGACAGAGTGGAAGTTAAACCACTTCTAACTTAAAAGCTCTTAGACGTGCATTCTGTTTGCCATAACTTCTTATTAACTGTGTATTCATTGAGCTACATGTACATTTTCCTTTCTGCCTTTAGCTTTTGAATCATGTTTGATTTGTTGCCTGTATAGAAATGAGAGCGAACAAAATTAATTTCCTCCTACTTCTTACTGATTTAATGACAATTAAGAGAAAAGAAAGAGGAGGCCATGTGTGTGTAGCCTAGAACTTTGTGCCTCTCTTGTGATGCGGAGTGGAGTTCTAAGATCAGTACCCTAGGCAGTGCTTTGAGGAGACCACTTTGTGTGCAAACCAAGGTTGTAGTAATCACACTGCGTTTCCTTCAGTGCTAAGGAAATTGAGAAAACTCCGAAAGGAAGTTATTTTAAGCAAAGACGAGCAACTGTGGGTTGTTTGAATGTCAGCCTCTTCTGTAACTTCTGTGGCCTTGGGCGGGGAGTCTGCACCTCACCTTTGCGCGCCTGTGGAGGGTTTGAGGGTTAAACAGTGAATGTAAACTGCTAATGCGGTGCATGGTGGATGGTGTGTGCTCAGTGACTGTCAGCCATTATGTCATTTAAAACTCAAGTGTGGGCATTTTCAATAGGTGCTTGGGAAGATTGCAAATGTGAGGATAAGGCTGTTCCTGAACTGCAGAGACAAGCTCTCAGAAGCCCCTCTCAGAAGGTGAGTGGCTGAGCACCGTCACTCAGGGCTGAGAGGCTCTCAGATGCACGAAGGAAAAGCTCAACAGCCCTGCTCATCAATAACCTGACTCAGGAAAATGTGTCTCACCTTATTGCAAAAGTTATATGAATTTTTTTTCACAGGCATTTGAAATTTGATTTAGGAGTATTTATTGAGAAGTGTTTCAAGGGGGAGAATTCAAAAGTTTTAGGGTTAACTATTTTCTCAACACTTTTTCAGACTTACAACTCAAGATGTCTTTTCTCCCATCAGTGACGCATACTAAGGCGGTGGCCATGAATGTCACCTTAACAGGAGCATACCCTTTCTCTTGTTTGCATCAGAATCACTGTCATCATAATCACTTCTATTAGTAGGAATGTTTGCCATCCTCTACTGTCTTGGGGCAGAAAGGAGGAGTGCCCCGTTGGGCTAGAGCAGCTTTGCACGGATTACTGGTGCTTCTCTTGATTACAGTTATCAAACTGTAAACATGCACGTACACCCGACAGAGAAAGGATAATGCAGCTAATCTCTAGATGGTTTCACGTAGTTATCTTTGGCTTTTTTTGCCTTCATCTTTTATCTTAAAAGCTATTAAACTGTGCAGAGAGGGAAACTGAGGCAGGACCTCAGCACGTAAAGGTGCTTGCCACCAAAGCGTATGAAGTGACTTTGATCCCTGGCATCCATGTGATGGAAGGAGAGAAAGGACTTCCACAGGTATCCTGTGATGTCCATATGCGCACTGTTGGGTGCATGCACAGACACACGTGAACACACACTTAATGTACAGCAGTGTTTGAAAGCGTCTAAGGGTATTCGGCCTTAGGGACTGGAGAGATGGCTCCACATTTAAAAGGACTCGGTACTCTTGCAGAGGAGAGGAGTTTGGTGCCCAGCACCCACATGGCAGCTCCCAGTGCTGTGTAACAGCAGCTTCAGGGGTTGGCACCTTCTGGCCACTCTAGACACTGCATGCATGTGGTGTACCAACTTGCAAACACATCATACACACAAAAGACAAATAAATCCTTTTAACACTTGCTCCTTCGCAAGGTGGTTGTGATATGCATCTTTAATCTCAGCACTCGGGGGGGCAGAGGCAGGAAAACCTCTGTGAGTTCGAGGCCAGCCTGATCTACAGAGAGTTCCAGGTCAGCCAGGTCTGCACAGAGAAACTCTATGTGAAAAACAAACCAACAAAAATTACTCCCTTGAATTTCCACGGTCTAGAATATTGATCCTTGTCTGCCTTCTTTTCCTCTGATCTTCATCAGACTGGCAGCATGCTCTTTGTAGCTCTTCTTCACTCTAGTTTCACTGCACTTGCTTCTAATATTCTTCTTTACCACTGAAATTATTTTTACTAAATCCTAAAGAAAGTTATATTTCCAGCATTTCTAGAAAAAAAAACATTCCTTTGCACTTACACTATGTTTGGCGTCCTGAGAGCTTGTTGTGTTGACTTCATGGCTGGCCTCTCTTGTGTCTCTTTGACCTTCTTTGCTCTCAATGTGGTTTCCTTCATGTCTCCTCCCAGTGAGTTCTAGCCCCATACTGTGTGAGTTTTCCTGCAGTGTAAGGGTTGGGTCTTTGTTTTCAGGAACAAAATATGGCCAAATTAAGTGAGTAACTTCTGCAATTAAAGTTAAACAGGCCTGTTTATGCCCTGCTGCTTTCCCTCCCTGAGCCTTGACAGTGTCTCAGATGACATGTGCTAGAGATGCCCTGAGTGGCAGGGAAGGGGTAGGGGGTGTCCAGCTGTCCTCCTTCCCACCACACCCACAGGTGAGCTCCGCAGCCCATCTCCGTGCTCCTCCTTTCATTCATGCAGCCTTGCTCACACCACTCAGCAGAGCTCACACTATTTGTACTCTTAGTTTAAAGAACATCTTCCTTCAATCAAAACAGCAACAGCAGGAGAGTAGTGAAACAGTTGCACAGTATGAGTTTGAGCTTAACAGGACTGTAAAATACATTAGAGAATTGAAATATTTTTTCTCTTGATACTGGCTCACACTATTCTTAACAAGTGATTTAATATGATTATATTGAAGGATGAGGCTAAAATACAGAAAAACTGCAATTAACCATCTAATGATCTACTAAACAGGTGCATTTAACTCCATTCCATTTGTAACTTTTAAAATTGGTATAAGAAATTCCACTTGAATTTTACCCATTTTCTGGCTCTCATTACTCTTCTTTGTAGATTTAGTAGCTAATAAGATAGCAAAAATATAGACTGTCAACAATGTGAAGGAGTACAGATAGATTATATATGCTTAACTCAAATGTATTTTAAGGAAATTCTAATTATGTTCTTTAAGGAATAAAATACATAATACAAATACATAATCATATAAAATAATCTCATAGCTCTTGTGGCATGTAGTGCATATTTAACTTTTTAATTTAGGATTTTATGGTTAGGTTTACTAAGTCATTGGCAGTTTTAAATTATTTGAGGAATAAATAATGATTTCAGTTTTAGTCACAGTATTGTTGTGTTTTGTTAACAGCTTTTACCGTTTTGTACTGGAGCCAGAGCTGTTATCAGGGGCTAACAATAGCCCTTCTAATGGACCAGTGGCAAAGTTCCTGGACATCCCAGAATCACACCTTCTGACTCTCAACATGATCACCCCAGAGGGATGGTTGGTTGAAACCGTCCACAGCAACTGTGACCTCGACAATATTAACTTAAAAGATGTAAGTTACTGTGGTCATGTGAAGAGAAAGAACCAGGAAAAACCCTTGTCTATTAAAGCTGTAGTCCGTGAGCAATCACACATGCATGCCAATTTTCTTTGTAACTCTGGGTCTCAATATGGTCTTTTTCCTTAATTTTTACATTTGCCTCACTTCAAAATTCAACTTCTTCCATTTCCAGGTTTGTAAATGCCCTCCCCATTTTTATTGCCATCTGCTACCTACCGTCTCAGACAGTGTAGACTGTTGGAGATAGAATATGGCAATTTAGGTTAACAGTATTAAGTACCTACTTTGCTTGATGCATTTAACTTCTAGGAGTTTCATTCAGAATGCATTTTGAGTTATGGGGCTCATAGCTGGAGAAATGAGTCTGTATAAATGTTAAGACAGAAATCAGGAAGCAGACTTTGCTGGGCTGCAGGCAGGGCACACCTTCCCATCACACCCTCCGTAACTTCTGGAATATAAATACTGAGACCTCTGCTTCTCACCTGTGCTCAGTGTCCATGGGAGGGAAAGGGAAAAAGAGAATTTTTTTAATTTTTTAATTGACATCTATTCATTCCACATGGTAAAAAGTGTCATAAGGACATTTTCATTCAAAGCTATCTGTCATGTAATCCAGCCATAAAAATCTCCCAGAAATTCCACTTTCTCCCCATACCCTTGAGTCTTCCCTTTCTCCAGTCTCACGTCTACTTTCAAGCTGTGTGTGTGTATGTATATATATATACAATTATATGTATAGTAATTTTATGTGCCCATAGAAAATCTAGAAACCCCAAATGAGGGAAAACATGTGTCTTTGTGAGCCTAATTTATTTTGCCATCCATTTACCTTCAAATGACATAATTTCATTCTTGTTCATAGCTCTTATCATGTCATTCATCTATCGATGAATAAATGGATCGACTCCATAACTTGGCACAATGTTAATGTACATTATAAGTACTGCCGCAAAATACAGATACGCAAACATGTCTGCGTTGTCTTCAGTCTTTCAGGAGCTGGGTCACATGGGCTTTCTGCTTTCAGTGTTTTGAGCAATCTTCCTGCTGATTTCCAGAGCAGCTCCACAATTGACTTTTCCACAGCAGTGCCCATGTGTGCCTGTCCCGGCTTTCTCACCAGCATGTGTTGTTTTCTGCATGAAAGGAATCTTGCCTGGGATAAAGTGGAACATCAGTCATGGTTTTGTTTGCACTTTCCAGTGGCTAGGATGGTGACATTTTGTGTGTTTGTTGGCATGTGTACTTAGGATGGTGACATTTTGTATGTTTGTTAGCATGTGTACTTATCTCTTGAGTACTGCATGCTTATGTCACCAGCATGCTTACTGATGTGATTGTGTAGTTGTTTTGTATTTGGGGGTATTCTAGACCTTCGTCATCCATAAGTTGTACACTTGGTGAAGAGCGTGTCTCTTCACTGAGCTGCTTCGTCTGCTGTGCAGCTTCCCAAGCTCCATTCAGTCCCATCCTCAGACCTGGCGGTAAGTTCCTGAGCCATGGCCTCTTTGTCTGCAGCGCCTAGTTCACTGATATCTTCTCTCCATGCTTGTATATCAGCTTCAGAGTATCGACTCTAGCAGCAAGGACTTTGATCCTTCTTGAATTTGTTTTGTGAAGAGTGAGAAACAGAACTCTAGCTTTAACTCCTACGTGAAGAGGTTGCTGTCTTTTCTCTGGTGGATGTTTCGGTATATTTGTCAAAAGCAGGGGCCAGAGCTGTATTGGTTGGATTTTGGGTCGTCTTTACTAGAGCTTCTTAACTCTTTCCACCCATGACCCTTTTACACATGAGGAATCTTACATGAGCCCGGGACCGTGTATATAAAGACCATCTACAAATCCAGCATCTACTAATCAGTTATGAGCTTATTTTAAAACAATTCTTTGGTTATACATCATTTTACCATCGACTAAAAATGAAGACAACTCTGCATCCTAGAAAGTTAGGTGTGCTTGTTTGTTTAATTTAATTTTTCATCATGTGTGCTTGTGTGCGGGAACACATACCACAGCACATGTATAGAGGTCAGAGAACAACTTGTGAGGGTCAGTTCTCTCCTTCCACCTCGCACACGGACAGAGCCGAAACGTAAATAAATCTTTTTAGGTTTAATTATGTGTTTCTAAAAATCATTTGCCTAGTTGTGTGAATTGCTGGGCATTTTTAAGGCCATTCTAATTGGGACTCTTCCTGATTTCTTTCCTGATAGGATTATTACTGAACTTTTGTGTTATTTTTTCTGAAAGCATATGTGCAGTCTAACAGCTTTCTGGGCATTCTGTAAGGGCTTTCATATATAGGACCATGTTGTCCACATACACACACACAAAAAAAAAAAGATAAATTGCCTTCTTTTTCTATTTCCATACCTTTTATTTCTTTCTCTAGTCTTACTGCTCTAGCTCAGACTTCAGTGTGAAGTATTGAATTAGAAGTGGAGTGGAGACCCTTATCTTCTTTCTGACTATAGAGGGTGTATTTCATTTTCCCCTGGTAATATGATGTTATATTTAGATTTGTCTTTTATAGAACTTACCATGTCGAGCTATATCTCTCCTGTTCCATGTTTCTTGAAGGTTTTTATTATTATAAGGAATGGTGGGCTTCATCAAAGCTCTTTTTTTTTGTATCTGTTGAAATCATGTAATTGTGAATGATCTTTTCCATGTGCTGCTGAATTCAGATGGCAACTATTTTGTTAAGAATCCCTGCATCATGTTCATTGGAGATTGGCCTATGGTTTCTTGTTGTTGTTGTGTGGCCTTCTCCAGTTTTGGGATCAATGTAATACTGGATTAATAAAATATGACTGGTAGCCAACCTTCCCTTTCTGTTTTACGGAATAGTTTGAGGAGCACTGATGTTCTTCGGAGGACTAGTGGAACTTGCAAGCTTCTGGGCTTGGACTTTTTGCTAGAAGACTTTAAATCTCATTGTTTCCTGTACAGCTCCGTAGGTCATTTACACTCATTTCACTTCAGCAGATCATATGTGTCTTTAAAGGTATTCTGCATTTTCCAGTATAGGTCTTCAAAATGTGTTCAGGTGATCTCTGGATTTCACTGTATCTGTTGTAAATCCTTGTAGTTTTCATTTCTAATTTATGTTTTGGTCTGTTTTACTAATAGTTTGTCAATGAGCTCCATTTCATTTATTCGCTGAGTTGTTTTCTCCATTACAAATTCATTAATTTCTGACTTTATCTTTATTATTTTTCCTATCTACTGATTAGGTTTGTCTTTTTTGTGTTTCTAAGACCCCTAAGGCTTACTATTCCTCATTAGTTTATGTGAAATTTCTTTTTCTCACATATAGGCACATATTGTTATAAGCTTTCTTCCTTCACTAAACTGCTTTCTGTTATATCATCTGTGTTCATTTTCAGCCAACTCTAAGAATTTTTAATTCCTCTCCTGGTTACTTTGAGGACTATCTGTCATTCTGTAGTGTGCTCCTGAGTCTCCATGTGTTTGTGTATTTTCTATAGTTTTTCATCCTGTTGACTTATACTGTTACTGCATTGTTATTGATATGTTTTAAAGAATATTTCATGAGCTTCTGAAAAGAATGCTTATGAGTGGAATTTTCCATAGAGGTCTGTAAACTCTGTATTTAATAACATTTTGTTTAGTGCTGATGCTTTTCCATCTTTTGTCTGGATAACCTGTCTATTGCTAAGAGGGTGACATTGAAGTCATTATTATTGTGTGGAGATCAGTCTATTTCAGGACTTACAGTTTGTTTTATTAAATTGGGTACACCAATGTTCAATTCATCATCTAAACCAACCTTTACTGTAAGTAAAGAGTAAGAGTATGCAAAATAATAAAATATATAAAGGAGATTGAAAAAGATATACCTGTTGTCTTCATGATCAGTGAGATCTCTTAAAAAGGTCTTTGGGGTCTCATAAACAGAATAAACAATGTGTATTATTAATATAATTTTATTATTAATATAACTTTATTATTAATGTATGTTATTAACATAACTTTAAAGATCTCAACCAAAACTGAAAATTTGCAATGGGGCAATTCATAGCTAAGCAATAAAAGTACTGCGTGATGGTGATAGTCTTCTCATTTGAGACAGCAAGTGCAAGTTATCTAAATGCTTTCGCAGTGAGGAGCAAATCTCACAGTCTCTCCAAAGCCCTTTAGATAAGCAATAGTTCCAAGTCTGCAGTTAGACAACAAGGTCTCTGGCTTCATAGACGTGGGATAAGCAGAAGGTTCTTTGTCTAGTATTGATGCTACCTTTCTGACTCTCTTGCTCCCATTGTGTAACATAATAGATAAAGCGTCTCTAACTATCCCAGGATTTTTTCAATAATGTGTAGAGCCATTTACTGAAATAGGAAGGATTAAGTGCAGAAATACAAAACTAGGGCTGGAGAGATGGCTCAACCTTATTAAAGGCTAGGCTCACAATCATAAATATAAGAAATACAAAACTGAGCTGGTCATGGTCACACATGTAATCTCAGCATTTTGAAGACTGTAGCAGGAGGATTGTTTTACGCTCCCAGCCAACTTGAGCTACATAGCAAGAGATTGAGAAGTGACTTGAGTACATGCGTATAAACATTTTTCCTTAAGAACTGTTATCATACCATTGTAGTGCCTGTGAGACCAAAAAGAGCATCATTCTTTTAACTAGGTTTCTCCCTCTGAAATCTTCCATTTTAAAAATTTGCTGATTTGATATGCCAAGGCTGGTTGATATTCATGGGAGGCCGCCCCTTTTCTGAGGAGAAGGGAAGGAAGGGTGGACAAGGAGGGAAGGGAAGCTATGATACAACTTAATTAAAAAACAAAAATGAAAATAAAAAAGCTTCTTATGGGTTTTGCATATAGTTGATATATGAAATTCATCACTAGAATAGCAACAATGCACAAGTAATTCAGAACCTTCAAACAAGCACCACAGTCGAATATCAGGAACTAAAGAGAAGCTACACACAACATTCTAACTACTGCTGAGGTAGTTACACCAAAGAAAAAGGACCAGACAGCATGGAATGTTCCCAGCGATTCCTGAAAATATTTCTAGGCATATTACTATAACATTCAAACCCTCCTGTTGTGAAACATTTCAAAGATTAACACCATCTACTATATTTTGCTTAGGAAAACTTCCAAATATTCACATTTGATCATGCTTTCCATGTGAGGGAAAGAAAAGGTTCTTTCCCTAAATTATAGTAATTACAAAGAAGAAATTTTATAAACAGTTGAAGTGTCCAAACCTTCTAAAAACATGTTTATGAATGGCAGGCACAATAGTATATAGCGATTTGTCCCAGCTTCCTGGGAGTCAAAACAGAAAGCTAATGAGTTTAAAGCCATTAGAGCACCGTAGCCTATTTAGTGAGACCTGATCTCAAAAAGGTTCATAGAGACATTGCTTCTGAGAAAACCGTGTTTAATCAAAATATAAGCTATACATATTTGCTTGAATAAACCCATAAAATTCAAATGTGTTCATGTTTACATGAAAGTTTCATCTTCAGGTACTTTCTCTTTTTTCTACTTTGTTCTGCTATGGAAAGGTTAATTTTAATTTTTTTAAATAAATGGCATGTTTTACTTGTACTTAAATAATGAACATGTTTTAATTACAAGAAAGCCAGTAGGTGATAACTTGGCTTTCTTGCCCAGTTTGAAATGAATGCTGTAGAAACAAATAATGCCCTGAAACTTTTTTTATAACTATCACATATAAGCCTGCCTTTAAGAGAGCTTTGATTACTGCTAGTATGGAATATCTAGCCAGAATCACTCCTTCCTACTTGCTGTTATTGGTACATATATCATGAAATTAGCAAAGACCTGGTATGGGAAAGAAAAAAATTAACCATGATCTTTTGCCTTGCAGAAATTGGTGAATTGTCAGTTTACTCTTGAGCTTATAAACCAAAGTGTATTGTTTCATTGAAAAATCATCACTTTCATTTTTTACAAAAGGTATATTCTTATTATTCACAATGCCCAACCAACAATGTATTTCTCCCCAGACTGAGAGAATTGTTACAGCAGAGTATGAACTTGAGTATCTACTACTTGAAGGACATTGCTTTGATATGATGACAGAACAGCCCCCACGGGGTCTGCAGTTCACTCTGGGCACAAGAAGCAACCCTGCTATGGTTGACACAATAGTGATGGCCAACCTTGTGAGTATTCTATAACCGGCTTCATGCTGGTAACATCGTGATGTTATTTCTTAAGTTTTCCTGGTAGTGAACATAAAATCCTCTTTACTCCTCAGTTGTTGGTCAGCTAAAAGAAAACACAGTAAATCCTTTTAAGATTAATTTTATTTTTATATATGTGTATGTGTCTGTATGAATGTCTGCCATGTACAGGCAGGTGCCTGTGGAAAGTGGAGGATGGCACCAAATCCCCCTGAGCTGGGGTCTAGGATGTTGTGAAGCCCCCAGCCTGTGTGCTGGGAATCAAACTCCAGTCTACAGGAAGTGCTACTAACCACTGAGCCAGCCCCCCAGTCAACATTTCCCTAATGTTGCATCCTTAAATAAGATAATCACTTCTAAAAATTGGAAGAATTGAATCAGGCATGGTGAAGTCCTCTCTCAAAACAGGGGGAAATTACGCTTTTTATAGTTATTGTAAAATCTTCTTCCTTATAATTCATTTGTAGAACTTTCTAATTCCATTGCTACCAGATACTTTCTTTGCTAGTTCATACATAATCTTTAATGAAGAATTGGATATTCTTATTCATGTAATTGAATAGTTTCTCCCTTTTATCTGCAAAGGGGTATTTTCAACTAAAAGCAAACCCCGGCGCTTGGATACTGAAACTACGTGAAGGAAAATCTGAAGATATTTATGAAATAGTTGGGTGAGTTATCCAAACCACTTTTAAAGCTTTAAATGTAAATAATTGCTTAGTGTTATGTATCAGATGACCAAAATGATAATTAAAATCATTTTTTAAATTAGGTCTGGTTGTGTGCAGAGTGAGAGAATGACTTTTCAGGACTTCGCCACTCTGTAGGATTTTAACTACCATCCAAGCACACGACTGTGGCAGGAAATAAATAAAAACAAATGCATTGAAAAGGACGGGAAGGACAGGTTCCTAGAACCTGTCACCTCTTCCAACTGCTGTCAGAACAGCTTTGAGACACCCTCTGCTTGGTATAGTAAGTAGCAAGCACAGCTTTGCACTGGCCCCCAAATCAGCCTACCCTAGCAAACCTAGCACCTGGAAAGGCCCTCATAGCAATAGACTTTAAACTGTACCCAAAAACTAAGCCTCTAGGCCTTGTCAGGTGGGGTCTCACAACCCCAGCATCTAGGTCTATCCAGTGTACTCAGTCTTTGTGTTTGCCCCACTGTGAGGCAAACTCAAGAGACTACTAGAAGATGACCAGACCCTATAAATTCAGACTCTACTAAGAAGGGTTGAAGAGCTGGCTCCCAGGATTGGCACATAGAACAAAACTGAGAACCTGACAGAAAAAGAGCTACTACCTTTCCATAATTTCAAAGTAAAAAAACAAGAAGCTGCTACTGCCATGATATGCACCAGTTGGCTTTCTTAGCCTAGAAAGCCAAGCAAGTGAGCTGTAAGGTTTTCTGCAAAACCTCATGTCTCAGTGGTTGTGATTGTCAAAAAATAAAAATCCTAGTAAAACATTAGCACACTTCCCCTTCAAGCTCTAGGTCCCAAGAAAATGTATTTGTTTGTTCAGCAAAATCTAGCTAGGAAACAGTCACCACCACCACAAAAAAAAAAAAAAGTTTAGTAAGATGTTTATGCTATCTCATCCAAGGCTCAGGTAATATAGCAGAAGAGAAGGCAGAAAGAATACTAGTACATAGGGAGAATAATATCTGAAATTAAGTTCAGTTACCGTGCTTATTCAATAATTTTGAAATCTAAGGAGTGAGTGGTGTTATATATAATGTAAGATAAAATTGAAGTGATACAAATGGACTTCAGATACACTTTGAATTGAGTTTAATAATACCTTTCACTTTGGGGTATTTGAAAATGCTGGTGATACTGAAAAGTTTTGACAGTAGAATTCCTCTGAAATTGAAAACTTTTAGGTCTCAAAACTGTCTCTCATTTTAATTATCATTGCAGCATGTCAAATAAAAGATATGAGTTTTGTCAAAGCCTTGTCATACAATAGCAAAGATAAGCAAGAATATAAGCTTCATGAGTAATTAGAATATTAAATTTAATAAATACCTTCATATAATTTTAATTTATAGTAAAATAGGCTTAATTAAATAATTATAATGTTTTGGTATATATAAGTTGAACATATGACACAAACAATTTATTGTAAAGGAATTATTTATATCATCAAAATTAGAGTCGTTTTGAGTGAATTGTGGACATTTGTATTCTTCCTTTAGGCATGAAGGAACCGACTCTGAGACCAACATGGGCGATGTCATTGTTGTGTTAAACAGTTTCAAGAGCAAGATACTGAAAGTACAGGTATGTGAGGCTGAATCTTTCATAGATATTAGTAAGTGCCATTTTTCCTCTTAATTTTGTTTTTATATCAACTAAAAATTTGCTTTCTAAAATTTTGTATTGTAACTCAGTGAAAAGAAGGAAAATTTAAGGTTATGAAAGTGGAGCTTGAAGACAGAAGGATTTGCGGGGGGGGTTGTTTTGTTTTGTTTTTGGGTTTTGTGATAGCAGAGTATTTACTCTCTGTAACCAGGTGAAGCTAAAGCTGTCCAGCAGCCTTTGGAGATGAGCCAGGGACACAGGATGAAAAGTTGGTCTGAAAAGAAAAGGCAACGTTTGTCCCTTAGACAGAGAGAATAGGCATTTTGTTGCTCTTGCTAGGTGTTTTTGTTTTGGTTTGATTTGTTTTTTGAGACCAGGTCTTACTATGTAGCTCTGGCTGGTCCAGAATTTTCTGTATGACCAGGCTGACCTCAAAAGAGATCCTCCTACCTCTTTCTCTGTGCTCCCTCCCTAACCACTTCACAACCTTCTTATGTCCTTTTTTTTCTATTAGAAAGAATTCTAATGAAAACTTTTTTAATATTTACTATCTTTAATTGTATGTGTCTGTTTCATGATGAGGCCATGTGAATGTGAGTACAAATGCCTGCAGAGGGCAGAGGACGGGGCCTCACACCCCATTCTCCTGAGGGTTTTATACTAAACTCTAATAACATTGTTCTGTGCTTCAGAAGAGGATGGGGAGGGGAAAGGGGTAGAGTGAAGGAAGGGAGGAAGGAGGCAGGTGAAGGGAGGGAGGGAAAAAGAAAAGGAGTTGTTTTTTGTTGGTTTTTTTTTTTAACAATGGTGGATGTAGTTTCTCTTTTGAATGAATGTTCCTGCTTAAAGCTAGCAAAATCGTGGCTAAAGGAGGTAAAACCTGGGAGTGATAAAGAAAAAGAAAGACACGACCAAGAGCTAAAGCCTGCGTTATGGAGTTATGGAGAAGAGGAAAGATGGGACCAAGAGCTGAAGCCTGAGAATGATGGAGAAGAGGAAAGACAGGCCCACGAGCTCAGTGAGAAGGAGGCAGGCACGAGGTCCCCCTGGCAAGGAGGCTCTGCTGCTCACCCAGAGGCACTGCACACCGAGCACCGCTTGGACTGTCATTTCATTATTCACAGTTAGTGTAATGCCCATTGAAATGCAAAACCCACACACAATATTTTTAGAAGGATCAAGCAGAATAAATTATCTCTAATCAGCCCAAATTTATGTCACCAAGTAATCCAGAGCTATGTGGACACTTGTGCTAGATAGGTGTATATCACAGCATCAGAACGGTTTAGCATCAGTTCAAGGTTAATTCGGTGCCTGGGGCAGGCGAGACTGCTGAGCAGTTGAAAGCACTTGCTCTTGCAAAAGCGCTGTTGTTTTCCGCACCCACACCACTCGGTGCAACACCTGACCTCCAGTGCCAAGGTATCCAATGCCTGTTGTCCTTCTTGGGCACCTAGCAGCATGTGGCATACATGTAACACATGCCAGCTGGCGTGTGTGGGCATGTTCACACACAAATAATAACATTAAAACAAAAGAGTCGCTAGCTTTTATACCCTTGTGGAAAGAATTAGCAGAATGCAACAGAGATAATAATGTTTTACTTAATTAAGGAAATGTTGCTTGTATTTACAAATACCAAAATGTGAGTTGGGGGCAGAGAAAAAGGAACAGACATTATTAGTGCTCTCAGCAACAGTGTGTGGGAGAAAGGGACACAGTTGTTGGAACAGAGTTGTAAAGAGTGTATGTTGCAAATGTACTCGGCAGAAGAACTGAAGACAGGATATTACCACCAGGACTTCCTCAGAAGAGGAAGGAGGGCTCTAGTGACAAAGAATGAAAAGGATCTAATTACGTGAGTGAGAAATAATTCTCAAGTTGTGTCGTGAGTTGGTCAAGTCTCCGACCCAAGCCGAAGCGCATTATCTGCCAGCATAGCAGTCGCCGCCAGTTTGTGCAGGCTTCTCTCTGCAGTTGATAGCACCAGGCAGGATTTAACTTAGACACCGAGCTAGTGTGTAACTACCTTCCTACCTTTTTTCAGGGGTCTGCCTTACATGGACTACTTTATAACCAATCAGTTAAATTCTAAGTTTCCTCTTTGTCATGCTATCCAGGTAAAGAAAAAATCAGGCAAAATTACAGAAGATATCCTTGCTGATAAACATGAAAATAGAGGCATGTGGGATTCAATTAAAAGGTAATTGCCAATAACTGGAAATATTTTAATGACATAACTAGATTGGTCAGTAAGGAAAGCCTCGGGTGGCAACAATCTAAGAAAATAAAGCACAGACCCTCCCTCCTAGGAGCAATAAGAGAGACACAAAAATGCTGACATGAAAACCTGGAGCAGGTGGGAAAGAGACTGAGGGGTGAGAGGAAAAGAAAAGAGGTGAGAACAGTCAGAGCGCACAGTTCACGTGCACAAAGTTGCCAAGGAATTAATACAATTTTAAGGAAGAACCTGGAGCGATAAAATAGCTGAAAACAAAAGGTGGGGATGTATAGACATATTTATACTTATATATACATATGTGTGTAAATGTATACACATTACATATATAATGCTGTAACATGGGGTTGTAGGGTGTTTGTTGAGTCATGTCATTAGCTTAAGGTGTTGGGTGTATTTCAGTAGCAGAGTTCTTGCCCAGCAGTGCGCCCCGGATTTCACCTCCAGCACCACAAAGAGGGAGGGGCAAGAGGGTGAAAGGGAAGCGAAGGGTTCGCTCATATATGTATAATCCAATAACACAAGACTAGGCATGACGGTGGCATTTGAGTGGTATGGTCAGGTGTTCAGGTGTCCTCAGAGGGCAGAAGAGGGAGTCATCATCCATGAAGCTAAAGTTGGGGTGATTGTGAGTTGCCACTGTCAGTGCTGGGAACCGAATTCATCCGTAGAAAAGCAGGGGTTTCTCCAGCCCGCCAGGTGTGACTTGTGTGTATGACATTAGACACAACACACACAAAATCAGTGTCGCGCATACATCAGTCAGTACACGTGGCTTCCTCTATCGCCGTCCACCTCATTTGTTGAGACGGGACTTCTTACTGAACTAGAGCTCACTGTTTGCCCGACTCGGGGGCCACCCAGGCCCCAGGAGCCTCTTTCTCTCTCTAGCCCGGGATCACAGGTGCACACTACCAATCCCATTGCTTTACATGGGTGACGGCCTCCGATTGCTTTACGTGGTGGCGGCCTCCCATTGTACATGGTGGCGGCCTCCCATTGCTTTACATGGTGGTGGTCTCCCATTGCTTTACATGGTGACGGCCTCCCATTCCTTTACATGGTGACGGCCTCCCATTCCTTTACATGGTGACGGCCTCCCATTCCTTTACAT